TGCGAGGAGCAGGAGTCGTGGATGCGCACTGCCGAGGAGTCCCATACTAGGACGAAACGGCCGTCCAGTGCTTCCAGGTTTCTAATGGTGGTCTAACAATGATGATTGATTAATGATTTCAAATGTGTTTTAATATATGTCTGATTGAATTGGAAAAGTTTATTTCAAACATTCTGTATACAAACAAGCAAAGGGTAAAAAAAAATTAAAATCTAGAGAAAGTTTTCTTAATCTTCTCATTCTGATTGAAATGTAATAATTCACTCTGCTAGACATCACAGATATAAGTTAACATGTAGACATATAGAGACATGATTATACATACATACACACCAGCTGAATGACTGAGGAGATGAAAATTATTCACTTGTTCATAAGTGAAGATAAATCGTATCCGCTTGAACCCAGTGCTAGTTGCTGTATGCTACACATTATTGTTTGTCTAACTTTAATCGGTTTGTGATCTGAATAAGTTCTTATTGTGAATCAAGTTTATTGACCGAAAAGCTTTTCATGAAAAAAAAGTCGTATTGGACAGTTTATATGATACAAAAATTTCATACATGAATTGCATATTATTATTATTATTATTATTATTATTATTATTATTGTATCATAATTATTGCATTTAATAAAATATTTTTTAATTTTACTGTATCAATATATATTGGGATGATATAAGATGAATGAGGAGACTGTATGCACAATATACCATAAACATGTTTAAACAGACATTAAAAGAAATCAACAAATACTTTTATATAAAAAAATTATTCCCCCTATCTACACATCCTAACTTAAATAGATTTGAAATAAAGGTTCATGTCATCACAATTTTAATTGAATGATATATCTATATATCTATGTATATGTGTAGGAATGTGCGTGTTTTTCGATGAAGTATGAAGGGCAGTTGTTGAGTGATTATTATTATTATTATTAGAGATAATCTAACAAACAGAAGAAATTGTGTCTACTTTAGATATATTGCTTCATTTATGTCAGAAGGTCAACATGAGAACATCTGCTTTATTATAATAAACAATTTCTGCATAAATTTATTTTTCATTAACAAGTTAATTTATATAGCCGCCTCAATATGATCGAAACAAATATATATATATATATATAGTAGAATATTAAATTGAATAATTAATTAAAACTTATCATCATTTAAGAAAACAATTCTTTTTGTTTGTTGTGACCTAAAACTTTACAAACAATGTAGTAGTAGTAGTGTGAGTAGTATAATACAGTTCGAAAGTAAAATAATTGCTCATTCATTTGACATATTTATTTAGTTAAACTAGTTTTTGATTATTTTGTTCACTCAAAATAAATAGAAGTAACAAAATGAATTAAAATGAAGACAATTGTTTTTTTTTTTAAGGGCTACTAAGTAAATAAGTCAATCATAGTTATTTATTTTTCTCGTTCTCTTTCTGTATCTGTTAGACATGATTCATGTGTGCTTGATATGTGGAAAAAAGAACACTGTTTACTGGGAGAGTTTACATATACCGCCTACTAGTGAATGTGTACTCTTACCCATAACTGTTTTCGACTGCTTACAATTACCTAACTGGAAATAAAATAAGGCATCAATTCTATATTACTGATATTTCTGATAGTATCAACGTCAAAGCGCTAAATGACGGGAAACAAAGAGACAATGTTTTACAAGAGTGTAGTTTTAATGATACCTAACCAGTAGATAGATAGTTAAATTTAAGAAATTCAAACCGGATTGGTTTATTGATGGATCAATTGTTTTAAAAATCTCTTAAATTCCTTAATTAATAATTATTCATTATAATTATAATAATATTTATCATTTAAAATGTCTCAAAAACACTTCATGCAACTAGTACATGCATTATTCTGCGATAATTAAATAAAAATTCGAAATTGATTTACTGACAATTATTGTGAAACGTTTTCATTGTCTACTGTCTTCTCCTAATGACTTATAGTTTTTTTATTTCAGATTTAAAAAGTAAATAATTTCAATCCATTTTTTATATTTTCAAACTGTTCATTTTCTACTTGAATATTCATTTGTTTAAATGTTTACGTAATTTTGCATTCACTTGTTGTGCCATCTTCGATTGTCATAAAATAAAGAAGAAAAAGAAAAACCAATTTTTATGATTTATTTTTATTGAATTATTCATTCATTCATGCATTTAAACAATGAACCAACTACCTAATTTGTTTTTTTATTCAATCATTTTTATATTGGTTAATTTAAAACAAGTGAACACTGTTTAAAATTATTATTATTATTATTGTTATTTTTATTGAAAATGTTTATTGTCTAGCTTATTGAACACCAGGCGATGTATGCTTATAATCTAATAAAAAAAGATATATTTCCTCATTATTATATCATTTAGAATAGAATAGGAAATAAACAAAACACTAAGCTTCTCTTAATTTTGCAAAAATTTCAATAATTTCAACTGTTGAGATGTTTAATAGTATTTTACGCTTTCTCTGTGTGTGTGTGTGTGTATTGGACTATGATGATAATAAAAAAGATAATTGATTGTTCGAATTGATTGAGTTTGATGATGAAATGAATCTTAATAAATACCTTTCTAGAAAGAAGTGACAATTATATTAATCATAGGAAAGTAATTTTCAAGTGGTATTTGTATGCTTTGCTTCAGTGTAACATAATAGGATTTGTATTTGTCAACTCGTCTAAGAGTGATGTATATGGAATGGAATGTTACTGGTTTAATGGACCTACTTTGACAAGGTATATTGATTTTAATTTAGGATCAAACAAGCTGAAGACTAGAGATAATAGGAAAAATGTATGTACAATAGTTTTTTATTGGTTTGCTTTAATAATCCTTGGAAAAGTTTTCAGAAGCTGGAAGAAGACATGAAAATATTTCGAAAAAGTAGTGTTCTTAGCAAACTTTTAAGAAATATCTAAAAAAATTACTTATTATGCCTCCTTGCCACTGATTGAATAGTGTCACCAAACCGGCTGTGAATTTTGTTTTTTGGTTTTCTATAAGCCGGTTTAATCTCGAGACCACATATAGTTCAATAAATACAATCAAGTTTTGTACATAATTTAACGTTTTAAGTAAATATGTTTCTAGACTTTCTGTTGTCTTTCCCAAATTCAAGAGTGTAACAATTTTTGTGATCTAAGAATCAGTTATAATTTCGGTATCTAAGCTTTCTAGCATGATATTTACAGACATCAGATTATGACAGTATTTTTTAGTGAACTAGAGTTACGTCAGCCTCCATGTTTGGATGAAATTCACCCAAAGACATGATACAAGGAGATGAAAAAATTTTCTTCCAAGAGGTTGTTTTCATCACTAGTTGTTTGTGGAATTCAAGCACACGATTTGTGCGAATTTAACAGCTTAACATTAACTAAAGATTCACTGAAAACCAATAAAGTAGTAGACACTTGTTTGACTATTCCATATTCAGTTGTGTGTGAGTTTGCAACTTGAACAAGAGTAGTCATCAAAATTGTCTCAACTTTTCATTGATTCTCATATCTTAAAAAATATTGGCGATCTAATGTGATTTCAGTATATTATGGTAGGATGTAATAAAATATTACTTTATTCCAATTAATTTGTGATTAGTAAACGTTTCATGAAGTTTATTATGAAAAAGATTGTAATGCATTTATATGAAGCGTCTCTATATGTAATTTATTCAGTAGGATGGTATTTAGGAAGCTGTTCACCAGCTTAATGTATCTTGACATATTTATTTATCAATTTCGGTGACCTATTTCAACAATCAAGGATAACATTTATAGCACATTCAAGGTGTAGATCATTCTTTAGTGTTGACTATAATTTCTGTTTTGCATAATTTTTCAGATTATAAATGTTTGTGTTAGTCTTTCACATTCAGACTACTTGTTTCGTAAAGGAACAAACAATGCCTATAACAATAATCGTGTATGAGTAATTTCTAAATATATTGTCTGTTCAATTAATATTTTGTTTATCGTCAATAAATAGAAACTTACTACACTATGCAGCAAGTATACGTTACCCCAATTCGACTTGTGAATCTAGTGTTTCTAGTTATCGAAAGAAAATTTGGAATTGGTCATCATTGATACAAGGTGCATGATAACATTGATCATCTCATCTATTGAAATTAGGATGTAATTTGCATAAAATCACTCGTCTCACTAACAAACAACATTTTGACAGTAAAAATGACGGCAACAAAGTGATTCAATATGATTTACGCTTCAATAATTCATTACTATATTATATTTTAATTAATTTCAAACAAAGAAATGATTATTTAACTCTACGTAATGCATAAATATAATTTATACATTTTAGATTGCCTATCCTCCTCCTCGTGCCCCTCCTCATCATTATCATTATCAATCGTGAGTAGTCTGTGATAAAAACCAATGAAGTTACAACAATTGACAAAATTATCCCATCTTCTTCTTCTTCAGTTTTTGTATTGTTTTATTCAAATTATAATTCAATATGAAAAAAAGTTTTCATTATTCAATATCCAAACTATTTCGTCAATGGATTACAATCGCTAATTCGGTATTCTTTCCACTGGTCATTATTATTATCATTTGTTTGATTATTATTTTCCAATTGAAATGTCAACTAATTGTTTTCATTGATCAGCCTATTCTATTGGAAATAATTTCACTTGGATTGTGTGTATTATTAGTATTATTATTATTCAGCAGTTTGTATAACACTGTCTATTCACTGCCTATTATTATTATTAATATTATTATAATAAGAGTCAGTCATAAAAAGTTTGTTATTTCCATTGAACACCACCGCAAGCACCACCACCACCACCACGACCACTGACAACAGCAACAACAACAATTATTTCCTTAATTATTTACAATCATATTCATGTTTATTAAAATTATGCTCATAGAATGCTGGTGGCGATGGTATCCATGTAAACAATGGAAAACACTTAGTCTCATCTATTTTCAATGGATTGTTTATATGGATTTAATAATTTTATTATTAAATTTAAATAAAACTGAATCAAATCTTATCATTCAATCAAATATGTCTTTCAATAAAGTTATCTTCAGCAAAAACATATCGTTGAATTTATTTCATACTAATAGTAGTACTAGTAGTAGTATACATAATCAATTCATAAATAATAATAATCATAATAATCATAATGATAATGATACTACGTCAACTATTCAAATAAAGCATAAAATTGAACGTCGTAGTCATGTCAAACAACCACAACCACAATCACAATCACATCAACACACCATAAAGTATCATGAACCGGAAGAAGTTGTATCACCGGATTATACATTACCATATCAAGATGTTCAATGTATGGAGTTTATTCAATCAACTGAAATTAAATACATTAAAGATTCAACTATGTTAGATGGATTTTTCGGTATGTCCAATTTACCAAAACGACCAATTGAATATACATTTCAAACACCAAATTATCCAGCATCTTATCCATTAAATATTGAATGTATTAAAGTGATCACTGGTGAGTTGTTGATTTATTATTATTATTATTATCAATATTTTTTTGATAGGAATTGTTGTTGTTTAATTCATAAAATTGATTTGATTGGAAATTGCAAAAAAAACACTCACTGTCTAGTCGTGATTTCTTCTCCTCATAACTGGTCATTTTGCTGTCACGTGCAAACGTTTAACCTCTGAATCACCAAGCCATAGCATTATCATAAATTAATCGATGTTGTTGGATATTTATTTACACTGCTGAACTCTCTGACTCAGTGGTCTGAGGCTTAAGTGTTTACGCGCTCGAGATCAAAGATTAAAAATGGAAGGAAAGGACTGTTCAATATCTTGAGATTTTAAATGGTAGTCTAGTCAGTTGATAGTGATGAGTCCATTATTGAAACTAGACAAATCCACATTTATTAAAGGTAACACATTTGTTGACCACATTTTTTTGTTTTTTTTTATTGACCAAGTTAGATTTGTTAATTTCACAATGAACACTAAATTTCAATTCATTATAAACAATACGGTAACTTTTGAGTAAAAATCGATTCTTCATTTTAAAATTTCTTCTTATTATTATCATCACCATCATCGTGCTGACAAGAAAGACATGAATTTTCATTAGTGATTTGCTTTGTATTCACATCTATCTATTTGATGTCTATGTGTAGTTGATTATTTACTGAGTGTGAATCAATTCAATTGTTTGTTCAATCATTCTTGGTAATAAATGACTTAATGCTAATGATCATTAATTATTTGCAATGTGACAATTTTATATACACTGTACTCAAATGTGTTGTTCAATGAGTGATGTTAATCAACAGAAAACCTTGCTTACTCACTCACTCACTCACTCACTCACCAACAAGGTATATACTTTCAAACTTGAAGATGAAACTGATAAGTCGCTTGGGATTCCCACTCACTGTATGTTACTCATTTTCACAATAGATGTCACCTCAGAGAGTCAGTCATTCAGGCAACAGTTGAACCTATTTTTTATAAAATAATCCTTAATTTATTTCAATTTTTCTATAAAAATGCATATTTTATCAACTAATTTAAATTATTTGTTGCATTGATAGAGTATTAATTAAATAAAAAGTATATATTTAATTATAATTTATTTATAAACAAAAAATAATATTTTTTTTGTTCAAAAATGAGAAACCACAACAATAACAACATTCATAACTTTCAGACTAGAACTCAAAGTGGAGAAACAAGAAATTATAGAAAATAACAAAAGTGTTTCATCATTCCATTTAAACTCATCTTGTGTGTTCATCAGTGTCTTCTTCTTCGTCTCCCGTTACTCCTACTACTTACTCCTACTACTTCTACTGCTTCTTCCAATTTGTAAACACACTTATTCCATTCACTTCACTTACAAGGCATACACGTACCTACACACACACACACACACACCCAGTGTTTTTTTTTCTAGTCGATTGCCACTATTTTTATTTTTTTATTTTTAAATTTAGTGATATTTTCTAAATCAATCAATTGATTACAAATTATTTATTATCTCATGATTAATAATATTGTTTTTCAACAGGCAATCTATACATTAGATTTTGTAGCGTGGGGGGACGGATTCTACTTTACTTCTATGAATTTAAATTAACTTCTTTTCATAAAAAAAAATAAATATTATAGTTTTGTTCGTAAAAGGAAGTTACTTTGAAAGTAAAACAAAACAGAAAAAAAAAGTAGAGAGAAGAAGAAGAAGAAGAAGATCAATATGCCTATTTGTGACGATAAATAGCGAAATTATTTACTTAGATAAATTGTGATTTTGAAACAGTATTTATATATTAGTGTTGAAATCTTTTTTTCAGCCCAAAAGTTGGACACATCTAGTAAGATTGACTGTGTGTGTGTTTGCAGTGGAATTCAACTAGTAATATAATATGTGCCAACGTGTTTATAGCCACACACACACACACATGTCTATCTTTCAATCGATAAATATGAATATATGTCTATGTGTCGTCTATGGTTGATTACAAGGATTATTATTATCAAAAGGAAAAGAGAATTAGAATATGTGATTTAATGCAGATACATTTTTTTACTTTGAATGTTGACTAAGGGAATTTCACTTCCACTTCACTTCAGTTATGTTCCCCATGTTCATCAGTTAAAAATACTGAATCATTTTCAAGCAAAATTAACTAATGAAATCGTTTATGATAACACATTGAAAAATAATCAAATTACCATAGTTTAGTTTAGTTTTGTTTTAATCTTAATTTAAGTTTCTGTTTTCTTTTCGGGGCGGCGATGGAAGATGCAAGAAGCACAATTCATGTGCAAAGAACACGAGAAGATGGATAAAAAGGGAAAAAAAATAATTTTACAAGTGTAAAAACAGTTGAAAAGTTTCATAACAAAAAAAAATTAAATGATGATTAATCATTGTTTTTATAGAGAACTTGTTGAAACTTAGTTTCTTTTCAATGTTTATATAATTTAAATGATTACTTACATATTGTTTTTTGCTAATGTGACTAACAACTGAACAACTAAACCATTCAACTTAGAAACTCATATTATAATCTGAATTCGTCAACACAACCAATATACAGTTCATTATTTAAGAATAAATAAATACCATTATGAAATATAAATGTATGCACTAGTTAATGAAGATAGTAATAACATCTCAAAAAGGAAACTTACATTGAAAAGATATTTATGATGAATTATAGTATGAAGAGAAAATTTGATGTTCTACTGTTTAATTTATTTAATGAATACACACTTTCTAGCTCTTCTCCAACAACGTTTATGAATAGCAGAAAGATTATGGATACAAGTGAAGCATTTGTTCTAAATAAACTACGTACAACTTACGACCTTGTCAATAAGTAGATTCTAGAATTTAGAGAAAAACGATATCCAAACTCTTGTTATACGACTCTGCAATTTAAGACGGTTCCATTTAGGTATTTGAGAAATGATATCTAAATATTATAAAAAGATTAGTTAAGTCTCCAATAATTTCATTGTAACATTTGTTAAACTTAACTGGTTGGACAAGATTATTATGAAGACTACATGAAGTATTATTATTTTACCCCAGGATATTAGGAAACATTGTTCTAACTACTCCAACAGATTTCCTCTGATCCGAACATTTTTTTACTAAATAGAATATTTCATTTATGTGTTGGAACATTTTTATTTTTTTTTCACTTTTCTCTCTTTATTTTTAAATTTATCAAATTCACATTTTACTTGGTCTTTTTAGTAGTAAATCGAAGACATGTTAATAGTCGAAATTTTTGTTCAAATTATATCATAAAATTAATTTTGCCAAATAATTTGATGCTTTTTAATCGGGTAATTTCTATCACTTACAGTGAGTGTATCATGTTAAATGTATGTTGATTTGATGAAAGAGAAATTGTACTTGATTCTGATTAGTGGTGACTAGGGATCACATTTTGAATTGAAGTGTTTCACTATTCACTCACTGGTTTTGCAGAATTAGATCAAATACAAAATTTTAACTGGAAGTTAAGAGTTATAAGATAGACAGACAACTTATCTAAATTGTGTTTAATGATAAAGTGATATAATTCTTTATTACGGTATAAAAATATCTCTCAAAATATCAAGAATAAATAAGCGAATTTAATAAGAAATAAATTGACTGGTAAAAAGACTAACTTAGTGATGGAAAGACTATACTTGGCTAATCAAGTCTGTAAAAACCCCCTAAGAAATATATTGTTGAAGTTCTAACAGAAAACTAGTTTACTACAGTAACTATGCCATAATATAAACTAGATTAAGAAGACTGAGGAGGTGCTACATTGGAATAAAAATATATGCCAACTAATGAGCACAGATGTAGTGAAAACAGTGAACAAAATCAGTTGTTGACAATTATAAACAAATTCATCAAAGCTGTACAAGTATCGCAACACAGGATTAGACTACCACCACTCAGCTTAGGGAACACAGTTCCAACTGAGTCATTCTTGTGAAGTATAAATTTTCTCCTTTTTAAATATCATAGTTAAATCTGTCTAGATTTTCAGCTAATTGATGTTAGGTAAATTTTATATCTCTCAATATTATTATTACTTTTATAAATCAACATCTCTATGCTTTTTAATAAGAAGTAATAAAGGTAACGTAAATGATCACTAGTTCTGTCAGTCGTTCTGTCTGGAATCATCGATAATTCCCAGAACAATTTTCTGATAGCCAAATTAATGCTAAAAATACTTGAACAAATTGTGTATATTGATTTTTAGAAATTTTCAAAAGAATTCAACAAAACATATCTTTATCAATTTTGGCAATATCACCAGAAGTTTCTAATGGCTTTCGATTACACATACCCATTGTTTGTGGTGCATAAATTTACCTTGGGAGTTGAGCTTCTTTTCATACTTTATGCACTTTGTATATGACTTTGAGCGTTCATATCTATCAAACTCGTGAGATAGTTCCAAAGTCGATAACGAGTATTTTAAATTCAGATCAAATAAACTTTTTAGTTATTAATAGTTTATAGTGGAATTATTAATATTTTTATCTGATGTTATATGGGATTCATTTCACATTAATCGTTATCAGTATGTTTTTTTTATTAATCCTGTTCCTCTTCTTCTTCTTCTTCCAATTTTGTCTACACACATACAGCACCCACAGATCAACATCGTATTGTGCTACACTTTCGTGGAACGTTCGAATTAGAGCCAGAATCACATTGTACCACAGATTTCTTAGAAATAAGAGATGGGGCTTTTGGATTTTCTACGTTATTGGGAAGATTTTGTTCTAAACAGGTGCCTGATTTAGGTACTGGTCTGATATCAACCGGTCAATATATGTGGTTACGATTTCATAGCGATTCAACTATTGCACATAGAGGATTTCAAGCTGTTTATCGGTTTATTCAAGCAGGTAAATCAAAGTGATAGATCTACTTTGTTAAAGAAGTTTTGTGAAGGATTGGCTTGGTATGCATATAGCGTTTGTCATAGATACAGTTCAATCGGGACATTACCGAATATCCATGTTTCTTCTTAGTAAAGGATTTCGTAAGAAGACCTTATGGTCTTGGGTTCGGCCCTTGGTCTGATTGTGGGTACACGCTGTTGAGATGTTCTATAATGGAAAGAAACAGTTATTGATTTTAAGCAGGTTTTTTCTTTATGACGTCTCAACAAAGCTCACTTTGTACTGATGTATATTATCTTATTTTTCTTATTCGAATCAGTCACTGAAATAAGTCGAAGATCCGTAAGGTTATGAATTGGTCTTACCTAGACAATGTTTGACAAACCCAGGACTACATTGAATAGTGGAATAATTAAGTAGTAGGCATTTTTGTCTAATACCAGCTAATGATATTTATCCACCATGATGATAACTATTTCATTTGAAAATTTTCAAAGTTATATTTTCATTGGTTATCTATTGAGTTGTAGGAAATATGTAGTCATCTAATCGTTGGTTTATTAAATCACTGGATGACTGAATATCTCATCAGTTAAATGGTGACGAATGGAAATTATCTGAAATCTAGGTTTACAGTTTAATTGGTTTTAGTAATTCAAATGTCACATATGTATAAGTTTTAATCATGTAAATAGACTGTTTGACATTATTCACTCTTTCCTATACTCTGTGTAATCAAAAATCACGACCTTCTCAGTTAACATAATTCGATTAAAGCATATCAAACATGATGTCATCAATAAGTTATGTAGATATTTATGTTACAAAATAAATTTAAACACTCATATTTTATTTTAGGTTCACACAAGTCAACGAACAGTGTTTCACGTAAGTTGACCATATTCTTTAAAAAATTATTTTAAACGTTATGAGTGAAGTTCATATAAATTTTTATGCTACGACCCTAAATCTGACGACGCATAGTGAAAATCAAAGACTGATGATAAAGATTTATTTTACTGGCAAAATCAAAGTGACATATAATAAGTTGTATTAACCAGTGAATTTGTCTAATTTGACTGAATACACGTATTTAACGTCAACATCATCAATAATTTATTATGTGAACACACACATCTATTTACTATCTCATACACAATGATTATTACAATAACAACAACTTGTTTGTACTTTGGTGAGAGTTGATCATTTCAATCTTAAACTATGCATTCACTTAAATTACTTTAAACTAGTCGTCAATCATGACAATTTATATCGATATATAGAAGATGTGTAACGCTCATGAACATTCAAAAAATTGATCAATATGCTAATCATCATGGATCGTTGTGAGTTTAATCACCCGCAGAGACACTCGAGTTCACTAACGTGTGGGATCATTGATAGGGATTTAATTCGGAAGTTTTATGTTGTTAGATCGTTAAGCATGACATTCTAAATAATTTGTTTTATTTTCTACAAAGCAATTCAATAAGTTAAATAGTATGTAAGAAACTTTCTAATGAATTATTGATCAGGACTAAACTTTTTTGTAACGACACAAAAAATAATGAGAAAATGAAAAATACCTATTCGTCTTTCTTTCTCATTTTTAAATTAAAAACAAATATTCATATTTCCAATGTTACAATTGCTTTTTAAAAATTTCCAATGTTGTATATTTTTCTACAGAAAAGTGTTTTTTGCGCTTTTTCTGTTATTGTTATTATGCGTGCATATGTTATCCACTATTCTATTGACTAATATTCAACATATAAAGTGTTTGTTAGTAAAGGAAAGTTAATTTAGTATTTACTCACTATTCTAATGTTTCAGCGAGCAATATAGTAGTAATTATTCAGTAAGGTTTTGTTGGAGTATTTTCCTTCTCTCTTTCACATTCACATATATATACACATACACACACACAAGTATATAAGAACACATGCTAACTTATATAGGTACATTCTATCATATACATACATATGGTTGATCTTCATATATATATATATATAAAATGTTCTATACATATGCGTGCAGTCGTACTCTTCATAACATTGAAGAGATACAAGATTACCGCCAACAGTAATAGCAGCTGAAATGTTAATATAATAATCATAATATTAATTTATATAACAATATGATTTATTTCGTAAGAATAAAAAGACAACAAGTAGGCGTAACGAAGACGCTTGTTTAACTGGGTTTAATTTAGGTCACGCATAATACGATCACTACTAATACTATAACTATTACTTACTAAAATGGGGCTATCTGACATTAGTTCTATGTAAACTTTGATTAAGGAAATAACTGAAACGAAAAGAAACTAGAAGAAATAAAAATGTAATGATTGTTTTTTTGGGGCAGAGTTTTGGAGGTTTGTGTTTTTACACATACCAGGACGAAACAGCCGTCCAGGTTTCTAATGGTGGTCTAACAATAATTGATTGATGATTTCAAATGTGTGATGATTGTTGTAATTTGATGGTATTGTCAGCTTGTGGAGGCTTCCGAAAAAACGTACAACATTTATTATGACCATAAATACTACTACAACTACTATTACTACTATTACTACTACTACTAACAATAATAATAATAATATTGGTATTATGATATAACGTAAATTTTTTTAGATTATCAGATACGGTATGATTTTCTGCACTGCTTATGATTTCTATTTCATTGACAACGTGTTTCTGTATACTTCAAAAGAGTTTAGACTCCCTTTTTCTTTCTATTCTACTGAGACTCAAAAATAGTACCTACGGCTCGAAACAACAATCAATTACGTACAAAACTACTAAGTTTAGTTAACTATAGTAATGATATTTATTCATAAATGCCATTGACTTTCTGATAATAGTTTTTTCAAGTTCGGTTTAAAAATACAGTACAATCATCTCTTTACAAACAAATATATACAAAGAGTTTAAAAATTTAATCGAAGAGTTCTAATTATGTATACAGTTAAATAAACCTAATGAATATTAAAATTCTGTCAAGTTAAATTGTTGAAGTGTTTAGATAATAATAATAATAATAATAATAATAATAATAATAATAAAAAGAATAGGGTTAATTGATATGGTAAAATGTTTTGTTTAATTCGATGGTTGACTTGTAATACTACTACTATGCAACCAACCAATGAACATGACACGGTACTTAAACTAAATTACGAGAAATTCATGTTTTTCACGCTGATTATGTATTAGAGTACTTGATGTGATGTAATACAAAGCCAGGAGTGTTTGTTTAGCCAGATCGTTTTCTTCCACTATAATTCCTGGACCCTAATCCTTATCCTAAGTTTCTTAGGTTTGTGAATATAAAGTTATACCACTAGTTTTAATGATATCCAGCATATGCCAAGTAGTGGAGTTTCGTGTGTATATATTTGCTTTTATTGAGTTATTAAATATGATGAAGTTACAAACCTATGCCGACATGTTTCTGTTCGTTATATGGACTTAATAAATTTGAAATAAAAGCTGATGAGTTCGAGTATCATTATGAAGATCAAATACTGGAATTCAAGTACATATATTAAATTTACAAATTCTAAATGAAGTGAATGGTATATTATCACTGTGTTAGTCACACATATGAAATAGATGAATAACACTTTCTATTGACACATTTCATAATCCACATTCCGTTGCTTGAATCGACGACAAATGATAATATTGTAGAGACATCACCATAGAGTGTTTTTAATGTGTGTAGGAATTTGTACACACTAAAGGTTTCTTTCTTAATGTTTATCATAAAATAAATTCTTCAAAAAAGCTTGATTAAAGAAAAAAACACTTCAAGCACTATGATGGTATTTCTTGAGTTTCTCAGTAATTAGATTCTCAATAGATTGAACACATTTTAGCAAAGTTTGTAAGCAAATAGACATAACTGTTTCATAAAAAAAAGCAAGAGAATTTCTTGAAATAGAATAACTTTTATAAATTTGCTAACTATGAATTTTGATAAAGAACTCGAATTTTCCCTGGTCAACAGTTCTCATATAAACATCAAGAATCCATTTGGAAACCAGTCAATAATCAAACCGTATTACTAAAGCCACTAATAACTTAAACTGTTTACAGCAAACGTTCTATTCAAAGCACATACGTGTTTACTCACCAGTGACTACTGTCAAGAGGAAATCTCAAATTTCCATTGAGTAAATGTAAATGATGAAGTTCAAATGAAAATTAATGTATCATAAAGAAATAGTCTATAAAAAATAACAAGCGACAGAAACCAATATTCGAATTGTTTTTTGACCAAATATTTATTTTAATTATATTTAATTTTTCTTATCTAAATTAGTAATTTTTAAGTACAAAGTTCGAAAAGATGTTCGATCTTACACTTTCTCGTCAAACTGTTGATAACTTGCCCTATGGACAACCTATTTTCCGAATAAGCACAAAAATAACAGTGGAAAAAAAATTAAAATTGGGCAAAAAATTCTAAATTACTAACAGATCGTTGAAATATTCAAAAAACAGATACGGGGTATAAGTCAAATAAAAGATTTTTAAATTTACACCATTACAGAATAACATCATGATATAGATTAGGAAAAATGGAATACCTACTATAAACAGTTATGAAAGATAATTCTCCGATGCAACACAACATGCACCAACCAAATCACTCTTCATGGAGAAGATGCCTTGGAGCACGTGAAAAGCTTCACATATTTAGGCAGCATCATTCACGATCAAGGTGGATCCGATGCAGATGACGTAAAGGCACAGATAGGCAAAGCAACGGCTGCATTTCTACCATTCAACAACATATGCAACTCCAAACAACTATCAACCGACATTGAAACCACAATTCGCAAAACAAATGTCAAGACAGTTAGTTCTACTGTATGGAGCGAAAGGTTGCAGAAATACCAAAGCCATCATCCACAAGATACAAGTATTTATTAACAGTTTTCTACGCAATATACTTCGGATTCGTTGGTCAGACACCATCAGCTACAACCTACTGTGAGAGTGAACAAACCAGATTCCAGTGTAGGAGGAAATCAGAAAGAAGCGGTGGAAGTGGATAGGACACACATTGCGGATAGCACCCAACTGCATCGCCGACAAGCCCTCACATGGAACCCTCAAGTTGAAATGAAACGAGGAATTCGGGGGAACACATTACGTTGAGAAACGGAGACAGACATGAGGAGAATGAAGAACAACTGGACAGAGTAGGAAACCAGTCACTATAGGTATTGCAGGCAGCCTGACTGGAACCTCCTGTATACCTCTTAAAATGTATCAGATTCTCAATTTTAATGAATTATTTATACCAACTAAATGTAGTAATAAATACGGAAATGAAGAGAAACTTTAGTTAAACGATTTTACAGTACATACACAAATAACTATGATTTTTAACGAATATAAATAAAGCATAGGTTAAAAGCCAATGATGAGGAATCTTTAGAACTTAATTATAGCCCAAAGTAAAAATTTTAATATTTCGTTTTAATAAACACATCTCAAAGAGCATCTCGAAATTCAGTTATACTGCGCATATCACATAATAGTACATTTATAAACGAAAAATATTCGCATGAAGTAACCCCCACTAAATCAACTCTTAAACTACTGTTGAAAGTTACTCTGTCTACTTAAAAGTCTATTCGTTCTGTGTCAAATCTTCTGTCAATCCGATAACGTTGATCCAATATTGATCAGCATTTCAATCCTTTCAGAAATTGAACTCTTGACATTTCTTAAGTACATACATTCTTACCGTAGATAGAAAATCGTATGGTCTTACTGTTAGTCGACATTCAACTACATATAGGTGGAGAGTCTCTATTTTATTTAGCGTAATAATTTTCATTGCATATAATACTGTTCGAACCAGATCATAGATTATACGGTCATTGGATTGCGTTTTTCCCACTTTCTTATTGATCAGAGTAGATAAAATGGTTGCATTTTATTTAAAATCTTTGTAGTAAACGATTAGAACCAAACATCTATTTTATTCCTTACAATCCATTTTACTTGATATTATTCAAAAGGCATAAACTTATACACTATAATAGCATTTCACTTTTCTAATGTACTTTTCACAAGATTAACTAAGGTAGTGGCATTTTGTACTACATATTGTAGTGCAAAAGAAAATTTACCATCATTGATCTCTTTTTTGTGGAACAAATAATTGAATTATCTTTGTTTTAAAGGTATAAAATATAGATAAATGTCACAAGATTATATAAAAATGTGTGAGAAATGACATTTTAAAATTGTTAAAAACATTTAGTTTAAATATAGTCAAAAAATGTATATTGGACAGATGTATATCAATGCCTGAACAACCTTGAATTAAACTTATTTTGATCAATAACTTGTGATAAAACGTTAATCATGTACAGTAAAAATGTTTTACTATTTCTTATAATAACACTTTAGATCGATCGTTAACAAATGTCCAAGAAACCAACCAACATAATTGTACACATTTATTTATTACAGTTTGTTTTAGTAAATCACAAATTTAGTTTGTTTAAGTTTAATTTACACTGATCTAAATGCAAAGAATGTCTTTGAATGTTCCTCTTAATGACAGTGAAATTTTCCGTAACTTACAAATTGGATATTTCGTTATATACGCATTGGAATGCAGCTTCATGCATATATGTTACTCATAGATTTGTAAGTAGCAAAACGTACATTCTTAAGATAATTCCTGGTGTTGTAATGAATTTGAATGTGATCTCTATCAGATTTCAATAGATTGCTATCTAGCCAAATAAATGAAAGCGTAACTGACGATTGGGATTTTTTTCTTTTTACTTCACAGTTATAAATCTTAACCTGTCAAATTATCATTATACTTTTGAGCTGACACGAATAAAAAATCCAAATTCGTTTATTCAGTATAACATGATTAATTATACGGTCATGTGTACACATTCCAAATTCAGTAAATTAAATGAAGTTTATGTATGTACCAATGTCAATAAAATTGTAGTAATTCAAATAGAAGCTGACATTAAAGTATCTGAAGTTAAAATGTTTTTCACATTTCGAGATCGAGGAGTGAATCAAATTTTATGGTAAATATGTGTTCTGTCTTAGGTCAAATATCCCGATTTATGGGAATAATGAAATTGTCAAGGAATGATTGAAGTATTACACATCAAAACTAGATGAAGGATATATTTATTGTTATCTGATTATTGTATTTCTGATTTAATCAATTAAATTAACTGAATGAAATCAATGTTGTTCACGTTTGTGAACAGTGAATATAAGAGTTCTCTAGTCTGTTTTATTTTTCGTAACTCTTGTATTCAGATTTATTAAGAATTATAATTTCATGATTATCATGAGTGAACATGGTGTAATATAAAGAAATTTGTTTATTTACTGTGAAAATATTCATTCATCATATCACATTTATGCATTTCGTAAAGCATATTCTTCTAACATTAAACTATTTTTTGTTTCTTCATTTTCACAGGTGTACAATTTCAAATAAATTTACAACCTGGACAAGCATGGAAATTAGATCAAAAGTATCTGTTGTTGAAAATGCAAAAATTACCCCCAGAAATTCAACAATTACCATTAGAAGTAGCCTTAGATATTAGATCAACTAATGGAACATTTGTAAGTTGAATTTAAATTATATTTAAGTGATATATTGTTCTATCTCTAACGCTGTTCAACTTTTAATATGGAATATATATATATATATATATATATATATATATATATATATATATATATATATATTTATATATATATATATACCCAGACAGTATGAAAACTTTAAACTGATGAGCTCATATTAAACAGTTTAAATTTATAAATTTAGTCAACTCTCGCAAATTAAGTGATCGTTATTTAGATATCTTTTGGTTAATATCAACTATCTTATGACATCAGTAAACTCTGTTGACTCCTTTTTCTTCATTATTATACTTGTTGAACTACAATGAAGCCATTAATAAAAGTTTATAAAATGTCATATAGTAGTAATATGTTTTCTATAGTTTTCATTTTTTGATGATAAGTTCCATGCCCTAGCTTGAGGAAAATCATTCGCGATGTTGAAAACAATCACACAATCTTAAACAAACTAATTAGGTAATTTGGTTGAAATTTTGTACAGGTTAATATCACCTGTTAGTTATATTTACTACAGATTATTCTCATTTACGTGGCAATCGGAAATGCGTTTTTAGTCCAAGTATTCAACTCCCTGGGATTATTTAATCACAATCTCTTCAGTTTTACTATCAGATGCAAACCAATTTGTTTTGATGAATAAACATTTACTGTGATACCTTGAATTACTAGATCTCATTATTGATGGAGTTTTAGATGAGCATTGATGAACAAGTCCGTAACAAGATAAAACAAATGTCTAGTATTTCTTGTCTCTCATTGATGTCAGCTCCTATTTATCAATCTTTGATGAATGCAACACATTAATAAGTGGAGAGTTTGTTGAAAAGTTTTATTATAATTCAATATTGTCCAATATGAATTGAGTTGAAATTTAGTTCAAATAAGATTTCTTATGTATTTACACAATTATTGTTTAATTTATGTCAATTTCAATTTTAAGACTAATACCCTAACTAATTGTGTATTCTTTTATTTCAAATTTCTACTTTATTTATTTATCAATATTCACGTTGAAAATTAATACACCAAAGATCATGTTACATATTGATCATGTACAAGTTCCTCAATCAGCAGCATGGAGTTGTCAATCAGAGTCAACTTTTACAAGGTTAACAAGAATTAAATGTCTTACTGGTGAACCGATTGTATTTGGTCTAGAAACGAAAATTAATGGAAATGATGGTGAGTTAAAATTATTTTTATTTATAAAAGATGAAATCAGGTAATTCACAAACACTGATCATTGATTCGAGTGACAAGTGTTATAATTTACTTAGTTATTTAGTGTTGATCGAATGCTTTAGATCAATCCGCAATTAGGCTACTTGTGTAAGCGTTTCCCAAAAAAATTCTCCATTATGTTTTGATGTTATTTGTTTACAATCTTTAGGCAACTGTTTCTCTGTAGTGGGTTTAAAATGTGAGTATATACAAATATCTTTGTAAAACCAACATTTCAGTTTTGAACTGATTAAATCAGTAAGACTGAGAATAGATTATATATGTATTACTTGAAATTGCTGCTAAATTCAGTCAACGATTTTGTTTAGAAAATTGACTGCTACCTGAAAATCTTGCAATCAAAAATGCCAAACTTGGCTTCAATACAGTGCTATCATTTATGGATTTACAAACCTTAACTCGTAAGGGTCTTAGGGTGTTCACCTCATGGACAAACAATCAAAGAATAGTTACTTCGTGCAATGTTTATATAAAAATTACTTAAAATAATCTAAGCTGTGTCAGAACCATAATGGAATCCAATGATCAAGATGAGAATTAAGAATATAAATTTATGTAGATTGTTGCAATTAAACAAATATTCAATGAGCACATAAATGAAGTGGTAACTGATTATGACAAATTCATGTAAATACCTGACAATCGATATTACGCACACACACACGCACACCAATGAATGACATTATAATCCGTATTCCCAGAAAAGTAATAGACTGGGTAAATAATAATAATAATAATAATAATAACAACAATCAGTAATACAGATTATACAAAGACAATTAAAAAAGGAAGTGAAAAGGCTTAAACAGAATCGGCAACTGACGGAAACAAAAAAAAACCCACAATACAATAATATAAACCAATGTCTATGGAAAACTTTTAATAAATTATTTAAAGGACATTTTTTTGTCATGAAACTAATCATCTGTTGTATCTTCCAAAATGTGTTTTTTGTTTATTTAACACGAAGCAAATTGTTCACAGTAATGAATCGTTTTGATAATCAATTTAGGATTGTATAAGAAAGTTAGACTAGTAAATCCAGAGTATTCAAAAGAGGAAAATCAATAGTTTGTCGTTATACCCCATGAATTTCATTTGGATAATGTAATGTGAATAAGTTAAAAAAGTAATTCACAAATGTCTTCATATGATTTATTATCAAAGATTGCAGCAATTCATATCTAAATGATCTGTAATCATAAATTATTTTCTTTTCATTTTATCAATAATCTTTATTTAGTTACAGATTCAGGTTTAAACAAATTATCTTTACAAGATCCTTCATCAATTATCGATGGACAACATACATTTTTTGAAGTATATCCAGGTAAAACAATTTCTCAATTTGTTCCACCATGTCCTAAAATCGTCAGATTCTGTGATAGAACTGTAGGTATTTTAAAATTACCAAAAAATCATGGTTCTGACAGAGATTTTTACATACGTTATCCACGTCTTATTATTCGTATGGTGATAGCATCGCCGCTATTTAAACCGGAATTATTGGAAACAGTTAAAGCACGTCGTGATGTGATGCATAATGAATATTATTGTAGAAATTCTAGTGATAATAATCTATTGGAAAATACCAATATGACATCGTCATCATTTGCTCATCTTCGCCGAAATCCTCGTCAAACAGTGAACAGTGATGATAGCATCAGTAAAAAATTGCTAGAATATATGCCACAATTTGTCTTCGTACTAACAAGCTTGAAACGAAAACCAAGTGATGGTTAGTTAGATTAATTTTAGAAGAAAATTATTGATTTTCAATATTTTTTGTCACTTATTTATTAATTTAAGTTGGTTTCGTAACAATGAAATCCATTTAAAATATTTACAAACATTTTATGCACACAATATTTAGTAAGGATTATAAAAAATTGATTCAAAAGTATAGAAGGGTTATACAGCACATAGTAGTTCAACCCTAGTTTACACAAGGCAATGAAAGGTTCGTTTTGGGAGTGAATGAAAATTCTAGTTTGTAAATTATTTGTCGTAACTGTCTACGGGTTGTCATGCGCATATTGTAGAACCTTGTCAGTACCTATGAAGAGGTTGTAGTTTGGTTTTGCGGGTAAATACTCAAAATTCTGTCGATTAGCTTAAAACTCTTAGGTGATTTATCTAATCACGTAAAACATAGGGCATATTACCTCTGACTCTGAAGAACAGTTCTGATTGGCGTAGGAGTTCTTCGGGAGGAAACTAGGGGTGATTGAGAGAAACTACTGTCTATGTCATTAATTTGAGGTGCTGATTATATGGGAAGATGTAGAATTAGGGGTTGTAAGCAACTACACTAGTATGAGATATTATAGGATATGTTAACAGAATTAAGGAAAAACCGATTCATGCTATGGGGTTGCATATGTTTCTTCGCTTTCCCGTTATCCCAGAGCTTTTGCAACATTTCATACTCTGACTGAGGTTAGCAGTGTGAATGGTCAAACAAGAACCTAGCAGTCCACTTTTCAAAAGTTGATGAGATGTTCATTTGTCACACCAAAGTGTACTCACCAATGAAGATCCTGTATGTAGGTTTTTCGAAGAGAAATAGGATTTAAAAATGAAGTATATTTATCCTGCGTTATGTGGGATATTGTTTTCAGAATAAAAGCTAGTTTATTCTAAGCATAAAATTTTTGGGAGCTGTGATAAGGTTTTCCGTTTGAAATATCTAATTTTACTACTTATGAGTAGTGTGAGAATTGTTTTAATAATATTAAACATTGTGTAGATTGTTGGAATTGGGAGTGACATAAGGAAACGCTTCAATGTAATAGTGAAACATAACTTTACAGGTTAAATTATTTTTTCATCATTTTACTCTGTTTATTGTTCACTTTATCCATGTAGGGAAATCATGTGGTAAAGATTGGGAAGTATGTGATTCAGAAGTCTGTATACCGAAAAGTTTATGGTGTGATAATATAATTAATTGTCCACAATGGCAAGATGAGGGAGTCCATTGTAAACCTGCAAGTAAGCGACACATAATTTAAAATCTGTACGCATCTAATTACCATGTTAATTTTTGAGTTTCATTTAGTTAAATCGGGTTAATAAAAATCCTGGAATGATTCAGTTTATATTGTATGAAAAAAAGTCAAAACCACTTCAGTTTCATATATTTTTGGATAACTAAGATTTCAAAGTACATCGGTATACATGACAATGTTTCCTGACATTAATGTCAACCTATTCTCACCATTAACAGCTAAGCACTTATCTACAAGAGCTTAAATGTTGTTGACTGCAAAACTGTGTAAATTCTCAAATAACCACGTACATGAAACTATTAGATTTAAAATTCACACGTTTATTTAAATGGGTGGTTCATTGCATATGCTCTCTAAAATAAGAATTTTTATGTAAACTAGAATGTGAAATAATATATGAAGACAATGAATATAATCTACAAAATAAACTGTTTCAGATGAGAAAAAAAAATACACAGGATTAAGGCATAAATCTCTTTATTTTCATCTACATAAACGTCACACAAAGTAGATTTGAGATTTCCTGGAAACTTGTAATTGAATTAAATTGGCCGCTAGTAAACATAATGAAATGAAAAGATCATGAGGTGATAAATAATTTCAAAGAAGAAGAGAACGATCAAAATACCTATGCTAACAATGACAGGACAAGGTCGATGAAACAAGTTAATAATCACTTGTAGAAAAATACACATAATTCACTTGTGTGAGAAGCCTATGTTAACAATGTTGTCTAGAAAGATAACGAGAAACCATAATGAGGTCAGTTAGTTCAGGGTGAACACATCTGCATCGAAAACATAACTTCATTGTCTACTTAATAAGGTAATTACATTTATATGGAAGTAATTCTTGTCTATTACAGAACCAATATAATCTAAGGAATTCTTAGAAACACCTGCTCAACACTGAGGAGTCATGACATTACTAATAGGAAACTAAAAATAGGACTATTGTTGAAGTTGTTATGATTGCTGAGCTGGATGGCTTGCTTGTGAAGCTTTTATGTTGTTCTGAACTACATTGTCACTACGCATTTCAGAGGAAACCAATCCTGAAAATAGACATGTTTTCTATCAGTTTTGCCTCTGATACGCTTAAATTGTCATTCTGGCCGGTTAGAAAAACCCAACTAATTCTACACATCGGCTGAAATACTCAAGAGAAGGTGCAAACTAGTTAATTCTTATACATACCATCTTGCGTTTCTGGAACCAAACTAAATATAGCAACAGTATAGGTGAATATCACGTCCGAATTGTGGCATGTGATTTTGCATCTTTAAAAGGTTTCCACAATGATTCCATTCAATGCTGATTGGATAAAACGTCTCCTGACTTTGTGTCTCTTTTAACAGTTTTCTTTATATGATTTCCATTCTGCATTGAAACCTCTGTTTACTGATTTTAACACAGGCTCGCATCCAACTGCATTAGGTCCTGATGGTCAAATAATACAAGATACTAGCAAAAGTGCATTTGAATTACGAAAGGAACAAGAACAGCTTGAAGCGGAAGCAGAACGTTTGGCCGCCCAAAAACTACATTTATCTATATTAGCTAGTTTAGGCTTATTGTTGTTGATTGTCGCATCAACATGTATATGTAAGTTGAGTTATTACAAATATGACTGATGGTAATTAATGCTTTTCTAAGAAGAATTATTTGTTTTGCCTTGTTTAAGGGAGTAGTAGTAGTGGTTGGAAGTGGTTCAGATTGTAAGTCATGTGCGTTACAGATAGACAAAACTTTAACAGCAACATCTGAGGTGATTGGGTTTGATCACTCAATGGGCTTATGATTGTTCACGACTAGAAAGTCCCATACTAAAGTGAGACAGTTGTGTAGTGCCCCGAAGTTTTCAATGGTGCCCCCTGGTTTGTAGTTAATGTGACCACAAAATCTGTTCAACTAAACTACATTAATTAGCATTAGTGACTTGCTTCAAGATATCCGGAAAATTCTAGTGAGAAAACGCAACTGATGAAGTTCATTCGTGTCGTCAGCGAAACAAGTCGTGACCAAGTCATTCAGTCAATAACAACATATAACTTCGTACGTAAGTACATCAGTTCAAGTTGCCACACCACATTAGCACAGAGATGTACTTTTCAATTCAGATACCATAAAAGTAGGAGTATTAGCAGTAATCGGAGAGATTTGGGTTAGACGAGATTATTCAAAAATTAGAATCTAGTGAAATAAACTTGAAAAGAAAAAGACTAGGGTGATGAGAAATTCGTTAGGTTAGGATTTGGGCAAACACAAAGAATGAATGCACCTGCGCCATTCCAAACGGTTTTGATCCATGTCATTCAGGGTCTCCAACTATCAATTATTATCTTCTTGCGGACACCAACCAGGTAGTCGACACCTATCAGCATGACTCAATTCATTTCTCAGTGACTATATGCATCTCTTCCATGATTTGGTTTGGCCGCCCATAGCTTTCTTCAAACCTACTCCGACAACACAAAACATGGATCGACGAGGCAGTCGGCGGTTAGAGATAGGCAACTACTACTGGCCATGATTAGTATCCATATAGTAGGGCGGAGTGAACTGATGAGCAGTACACAGGTTCTTCGATTAGCAATCGGCTATCTCGCCTAGGCCACAAGTGATATAGGTTGGCAAGAGCCAGTCGAGCCTCTTGTATTCGTCCCGAGATTTCTTGAGACACTGTGCCATCAGTGCTGACGAGACTCCCGAGATAAATGAAGCAGTCAAGATGCTTAACTACTTCACTTCGTATCACTAGTTCGGGTACCGACTACAGCCAATCCTGAAACGAAATTTGCTTGCATTGTTGCTTAAGGTGGTGGTCAGAAGACTGTATTTTGTCTGCGTCTTCAACGAATAGAACTATGTCATCTTCATATTCTAAGTGAATAAGTGAATCTCCTGGTAGAAGGTCTACTACAGAAAGTTCCGCTGAAGATAATTTTATATCTAGGTGCGTGTCTGTAGTGTTCGAGTAGAGAGCCTACACAAGGTTAATATATTTTTCTCGTAAACGTTCTAATGACAGACACTGTCACAAAACCTCACGATCCACAGAGTCAAATGCCGACTTAAGGTACAGGAAGACAACTGTTGTCGGACGCCTGCATGTGTGTCTGTGTTCCAGGACCTGTCGTAGTGTAAAAATGTGGTCTATACACAGCCACATGCAGCTCTGAAACCAGTCTGATTTTCTCTAGTCTGCTCTTCACGAGCTCTAGTTAGGCATCTAAGGATAATCGATGCTAACAATTTAGAAACTATATTAGTTAAACTGATTCCCCTGTGATTGTCTCCGGAGGACTTTTGTCCTTTCTTATAAATTGGGACAATCAGCGATTGAGACCAGTCGGATGGGATTAGGTCGAGTTCACAGATTCTACCTAAGATGTCAGTCAATCTAGCTGCTAAAACTGTACCACCAACTTTAGAAATCTCAGGGGTCAATCTATCAGGACCCGCCGATCTAGCTCACTTCAGATTTCCTATAGCTTTCTCAAATTCATAGGGGGTCGGAGGAAGTACGTCATTCCGGTTAACTGGTGATTGTGGGCAACCGAAGTGTGGCTGATGGCCAACTGAACTGATCCCCAGAGTGTTCTGCCAATCGATTCAATCTCCTGGATTGAGAATGGATAATAAAACCATCCTTTTCCCAGATAGTCTCACTCACATTCGGGTTCCTAATACCGTTTTTCTTGATGAGTCTGAATAGTTACCTACTGCTTCCTATTGCCGCCGCCTTTTCCATCTCTCTCACTTTCGCTACCCACCACTGTTCACGATCATTGCGTAGGCTTTTTATCAGCGTGTGCCTAAGCTCACTTCGCTCCTGATCGTACTCAGAGCCAGGCGGGATGAGCTTCCGAGCATCCATCAGTTCGGTAGGTGCTACTGAAATCCACGGCTTCTCCCTAACCTTATGGTTCACCTTACTAGCAGATATCACTTCTGTTTCCACAGCTATTTTGATATCATTGCAAGCTGCCTCCGGGTGGATATAACTTACTACATGGCCGCCTAACTGTTTTTCTAGTTGTTTCTGAAATATATTCTTAACTTTGCTATCGTTATGTAGAATCCTAAGAGGTTTCCTTGCGATATTTTTCCTACGTCCAGTAAGACGCAAACGAATACGCGCTTGCACTAGAGCATGGTCTGAGTCTAAACAAGTGCTCCAGAATGAGCGGCTGTCTTCAATAGAGCCTCTCCACCGATGGCTTATAGCGATGTGATCTAGTTGGGTTCAGCGTTGGGACGATTGCGGAGGTCACCTGGTCTGAAGATTTTTTCCTTATGCCTGAAGTTGTGTTTGCTAGGAATAGACAGTTATCTGAGCATAGTTGCAGCAGACGGTCGACATTATCAGTTCTGTGAGCCACGATACCATAAGATCCACCCACGTATCTTTTCTTTTCACTGAGTCTACCTACTTTATTACTGAAGTCACTAGCCGCTCTTACTAAATCAGAGAGCTTGAACTTTTGAAGGGGTTAGAAAGGTTTACGTAAAACTCACCTTTTATCTCGTCTGAACTGCAGTCAGTGAGAGCGTAGGTAGAGATAACGAAGAGTCTGTACCGTCCCGTTCAGTCGGACAGAGCATAAGCGACTATCTGCCGGGGTCCAGTCTAAGAGAGCTCGTTCTGACCAAATTTTTCTTAAATATTTGCATAAATTCTTATCCATTTTTAAAATATATATATATATATTGCTTCCTAGTCATGACTATACGTCGTCGTCGACGTGAGACAGCACGACAATTAGCGAAATCCAAAGAAGACGAGCAAAATACACAGTCAAACAAATCTAATGACAGACGTCTACAACGATTAAACCATGTTATGTCTACCGGTGCGTTATTAGAAGGAAGTAATCATTTGAAAAAAGATTATTATTATAATAACAACAATAAAATGAAACCAGTATTCACTCTATCGAATTCAAGTTTAACACACGATATTCAATATTTAAGTAATAATAATGATAATAATAATAATAATAACCAATCGATAATGATGCACGAATTGAAATCAATGAAGAAATCTGGCAGTCGTAATACAACAATGATTTGGAATAGTACCGACAGTATTAATGCACCATTATTATGGCAACGTAAAGCGGATGATATGAAAATATCATCGTCACCGTGTCAAATGAATTCCAACAAACATCTCATTAAATCTTCATTAGTTAAATCGAAAGACAATAATAGGAATTCTTGTAAAAAATTATCAAATAAAAAAATCATTCCTATCCACCAATGTTCATTTGAAAAAGAAACTGTTGAATGTGTTCAACAATTTCAAGGTGTTAATAATAAGATTGTCAGTAATCCTATGAATGATTCAACTAGTTTACCCATTACAACAGTATGTTCATTCAGAACAACTACAACAACTACAACTACAACAACAACAACTAATTTACGTAACAAGTCAAGTCAACCATCATCATTACAGCATACACATGAATCATATCCAATTTCATTGTATGATAAAACTGGTTTTGGTGAACGGAATAAACACAGTTTAAACTTATTTGTACAGAAACGAATCAGTGAACAACAACAACAACCTTTTAAACGAAGCGGAAACAAAACAGGTAGTGAAATTTGAATGAAGAAAGAGTTTTATGATGAAAATTAACAAATTACCAGTGATTCCATTGATATGTTTAATTACTTTGACTTTTGTTGACTGGTCAATAATTGTAGGCAGGCATATTCAACTACATAGATTATGAAACTATCTGATACTGTGAACATTATTCTAGTTTCGATTTCACTTAAATTCCATTCCTGTCGAGGTTTAATTTTGTTCTTGTTTGAACGGCAGTAAAATTGAGTTTTGGATGTAAGACTATCTAGTTTGTACGATTGGATAATTCTTTCGTTATGCCATAAAAACAATAATAAAATCGGGAGTTGAAAATCTTGAATTAATGAGAATTAATTAATTAGAACAATCGCCTAGTGCTTTTTGATAGTGACAATGTCTCTTGAGGAAATCATCGTAAACTTTATACATCAATCTCATTTATGAAGCACTAGATTAATGAAAGAAATTCGTTGAAATTCAAAACATCTGGTTTGATAAATAACATATAGGTGGTATTCATATGATTATTTCAACCTAGATAATAATGTATAGAGTTACATTAGAGTGAAAGAATACTTTCTAGAACTAAAATATATCTTTAAAGTTTAGCATTTTCAAAATGAATTTGTGTGTGGTTTAGCTATTTTGACGTTTGACGAGTAGTATAAACCTAACATAACGTGAGTGTACAGGATCAGTTCTGAAGAATAATTCAATAGAACTTGATGGTAGTTTTTACCACGAAATAATATCAACTAGAAAAAAAATCATGTTATGCAGTCCGATACAGTCACGGTGTACACATCCTGTGGTGCATCGAACTCATAATACAAACGAGAATACTGAAATGAGAACAGAGATTAAATTGTGAAGTCAAATTATAGTATGTATAAATCAGGATTTTCTCCAATTGTCTTTCTCACACAGATAAAGTCATTGATTAAGTGAATATATATTTGCTCCAATAATTTTCCTAGTTTATAATTTCCTACTTGCTGTTTGACTTTGAGGTGATTGTGATCACAAGCCTATCAAATCATTACAGTACCATAGAGAGTTGAACGACTGTTTCAGTTTCATTTATGACTTATGAAAACATCGGGTCATTGTAACTGTGTGCACAATTACTACAGGACCATTGAAGTTTCATATATTGGAAGTGTGATTGTTAATGTTTCTTGTTTAGAAAGTGGCCAGAAAAAAATAGTAAAAGAAAATTTAGACTTATTTGTCATAATTAAAAAGCTATTGCTCAGTGTCATAGAGTAAGACTGGAAAACTCAGAATATTGAGTTTTGATGTGATTGTGATGTTTAGCATTTGTGAATATTTATTTAAGTATCAAATAGTCGTGAAATATTTAAACAATCATTCCTTAATTTCATTGCCATTTTAGAAATCAAATGGTTTCTGAGTATTCTGTGCGTTTTTATGCTTATCAGAATGAATTATTATTATTATTATTGTAATTGTAATTGAGGTTGGTGTTTTTTCTTTTCTTTTCTACTATTAGAATCACAATCTGTTTTATCCAGTCCACAGAATCATGGAAATTGGATACCAATTAGTATTTATCATAAAGTAGACAACAGAGAATTGTCAACGCCAACTACTACACACCAATCACAAATTGATCATGAATTGAAACAGCAAATTTCTCATTTACACAGTACCATAAATCGTACACAATCATGGGGTGATGGTTTACGCTATGATCATAATGTACATTTATGCTGTGGCGATGAGAATAACCGATCACCAGCATCATCATCTATACAACAAACAACAATTCATAAAACACAAAATTATCGTAATAATTTCAAACCATCACCTGTTTCATCAGTACCAAAGTGTCAATTATATTCTGTTAGTAATAGTAGTCAAGAACATTTATATCGTATAAAACGATCAGATACTTATGTCAGTATGCCTGATGTCAATGGACAACATCATAATAATGAATTATCAATTAATAATAAGTTTACAAATTACCATCATAGAATGTTCAACAATGCTAAACCAATTATTCCGACAACATCTACAACATTATTGACTTGTACTAGTGTTAATACTTGTAATAGTGGATTGAACAGTATGACTGTATGTTCAACAACTTGTACAGGACAATTAATAACATTATCTAAAGATTATAGACCACCACAAGCTAAACGTCCACGTACAATCAATCCATTCATATCATCTATTGTTACAGCAAATCATGATGATCATAAAAATCACACTATAATTAGTAATGTGAATAAATTTTCTAGACATACAACTCCGATACAAAATAATAATAATAATAATAATTTTAATAATACGATCATATCACATCTTGCTACTGCTAGCAGTAATAGTAGTAGTAGTAGTTGTTGTAGTAGTAGTAATAGTAATAGTAGTGATAAAAATAGTATCAGTAATAATCCTTATTTTAGTGGTAGTGAACATTCACATGTACATTTAGATCCTTTTTATAAACTACATCCTCATTCACAGTCTCCGCATCATCATCATCATCATCATCATCGTCATCATCCTCATCAGACCATTTATTCATCATCAACTGGGATACAAAATATTTCATTAACAGACGAAACATTGTCACATGATCGACGAATTTACGGTTTAAATAACTGTCAACATAATTTGTTAATGCATGGATCGAAAATTTCAACAGTTGACAATAGTCGTACAAATCTAGAAAAATATGGATATAGCAAGGAGAATAATGATGACGATGCTGAAGAAGAAGAAGATCATGGTGGGAACCGTCAAACAGAGGAATTAAGAACTGATCATGTAGATGACGAGGATGAAGAGGATGTAGCAACATTATCCAGGACAGATTCCGGGAATAGTTTAGAATTGTTGCAGCGAGAAGATGAAACAGATATGGAAAACTCGGAAAGATATTCACCAGAAAGTAGGTTTGCTCTAATTATTACTATAAAACTGATTATACAATCTTTTGCAATATTTTTATTAAACAGTAATAAATTGAGTTAGATCAGATGTATAGTGATTTTTGATTTGAAGTAAACAAGGGGACGGAATACAATAGATATGTACGTATTGTATTCCTTTCTTTTGTGGTTACATATATATATATATATATATATATATATATATATATATATATATATATATATATATATATATATATACATATATATATATATATGATTCAAAATTCAGTAAAACCAAAAATAAAACTTATTGGATGCTTTATTGTCTCTTCATGGATAAGAAAGAATCTTCAGTAATTTATTAGTGTAAGGAAAAGTATGTAACAATGATTATTTGCTAACAAAAAATTAATGTTGAGAATGAATAATTCCACTTTGTTTTATGATTAAATTTTATAAAATTTCAGACTCACCAGTTGATAATTCAACTTCCCTATCTGAAACAGATGTATCACAAAACGCTTGTATTACACATGAAGAACCAATCAAGATTACTGTTTATCAATCGGAACCTTATGGAATTCGAACAACAACTGGTTATTCATCATTATCACCGATGAAATCCGGTTCTTCGCATTCATCTCCAATTCATCAACAACAACAACAACCACAACACTCTTATCAACATCAATATCAACCAAAACAAGAAATCAATACAGAGAAAAAAATGAATCCATTACAAAGTAGATTCGATGATCAAAATGCTTCTGAGACATCAACTGATCTAATTTATGAATATGAAGCTTAGAAAATAAAATGATAGGGATTTCAAAGTGCCTCCTGATATCATATTTACATACTTAAACACATAAATAAATTATATGTCAACATAAATACAGAAATATTTTCAAGAGAAATTTTGAAATTAGTTTATTTCTATGCCTTAAAATGATAGGGTTAATAAAATTATTATTAATTCAATGAACAATAGTAATTCCCAATCAAATTACATCATACAAATGTTTATATTCAACCTAGTCGACTATATATATAGCCAATTGTGTTCATTCTACAGAAAGAAACTATATACACTTATGCCTAAAATGGGAAAAAAATATTTTGGATATCATTTATATCATCATATTGTTGATGTAACTAACTTACCTAATCAAAAATGAGTAATGTTTCAAACCACTTCCCATGTTGAAAAACAAATCAGTTATTATTTTTCATTTATTTAGGTTTTTGTTTAAAAAAGAAAATCACATTAGAATTAAAAAAACAAAAACGGTTTTGAAGTAGGATAGATTGAAAAAAAAATTTAACTTTTCTTTTCATTATCATTTTTAGAAGATTTATTGGTATGTGTCATTGACGTCTGTTTTCTTTTCTTTTTTTTGTATTCTTTCTTTCTCCTTTTTACATTTCTGTTCGAAAAAAGATTGTGAAATGATTTCTGAAGTTTGACTCATACACAACACTCACTAACCTTGACCTCTTCACGAACAATCTACCAATTAAAATAAAAATATTAGTAGATTGTATGTGTGTGTGTGCGTGTGTCTGTACATCTATTAAGATAGATTATACTTGAAAAATAAGAGAAATAAATCCTGGTGACTATTTCTTTCTTGAAATTAATTATCAAATGTAAAGCTATGAATGATCAACATCTAACTCCGATACCCTTTTATTAATTTAATTTTATTTGTATTGACAAAAGTATTGCTAGCCAGAGGAGTAATTAATATAAATACCACTGACTAGTAGTAATGATAATTGTCTTGGTAGCAGTTAACGATAAGTATTGCCGATAATCCAAAAATCCCAGTAATAAGAAAGGCATAGTAAAAGTGGTCACTGTGTCTGTGATTCGATAAGTCTTCCATTATTTTCATTTTTTTGATTGATACGATAATGACGTTCTTTTATTCAGTGCTAGTTTTGAACCCATTTTTCAAATCCTCTCACTATTTTTTCTAGGCTGACTAATCGCTTTACCGATTCTGTTGTTTATTTGACAAGTAACACACATAGAATGTTTAGGTGTTGAATAAAATGGTCAAACCAAAATGATGATGAGATTATTGCAAATTAAAATAAACAAACTATATAGGAGGTAAAAAAAGTTTAACTTTTTTTCTCTCTAACAGTTTAATTCTGATTCTTGAAATAAACAAACGGACATTGAGAAAGGAATTTTCCGGTTTTGAAAACACATACTTTTGATTAATTGTGTGTGTGTGTGAGTAGTTATAAACTTCCAATGGTAGTTGATACGAATGACCAATATTATTCCCAAAATAAACTATCAACAAACAGTAAATGAAACGGATACACATTCCATTTTAACTTTACACTTTAAAATCAAAGCACATCTTTGACTTTAATATTACTGAAGTAAATCAGTTTCTTCACATTAATCATTTAACGATCAGCTTGAAGTTGACCAAAAAGACTATCTCAAATTAAGTTCGACTATCAGGGTGAAGACTAATACATACAACATCTTACTTGGATTATCATCAAAAAATAGTTCCCCAGACCATATTCAATGCCGCTCACGTTTTAATAGTAAACTGTTGTTATGACCGTTGTTAGAGTTTCAGAGGAAATCAATTTAAAATACACAAACTGTGTACTGCCAAGTACAGCTACACAAGTCAATCTGTAAGGATAATCTGCACATATTGTTCTTATATATTTGTTTTAAGGTAACAAATGAGAACATTACGTAATCACAGTACTGAAAACATAATCCACTGTTTTATAGGATTCCAAAATAAATTTAATTGGTCAAATTATCATTAGCGATTTCCTAGATTCTAAGAAAAAACTGTTTGAAAGAATTATCAAATATATTTGGCCAGAGTTTACAGAGAAAAAAGCTTATAGTTATTGGTATGATTGAACCTATTATGAGTTCATCTTACTCTGTAAACGGAACGAAGATCAACGATACAATGACACGATAGGCTATTCTAATCCGTTTGTCTAAGACCCTGCTAACTAGATCAAGAAGTTTTGATAATGCATAGAGAATGTATTCTACGAGCACTCAGAAAATGCGAGGTCGCTAAGCACACAACTCAAGCTTATTTATATAATGATAGAGACGTCCTTGGGAGAGCCACAAAATAACGTACTAAAAAAATCCATCAACCGATGCCAGTCAAAGATTTTGCAATTGGGAAATGTAAGGTAAAGGTCAACTTAGCATTTCAGGCGCGAAAATATAGAAATTCGAAATGTCAGAATTAGGACCTTTTCCAAATGAGTTCTGGGGATCCAACGTCCCTAACGGTTATATATCAATAGCAATGCAGGTTATTTTTATCAGTAAGTATATAAAATATCCATACTACAACCATTTTATGATACAGATGTTTAATACATTTCAATACGTGATCAAGACTCAAAATATTAAATTAACTGAGAGAGGTGTTCATTGAAAAGGTCATGTGACAGGCATCCATGGTCACGAAATTCGTCAAAACTACTACTGATCCAATCTTCTTTTAAAGCATCTAAACATGGGATAATTTCACCGAATCGGTGCCTGAAGACGACCGCCCACGCGTTGTTAACAAATATGGCACATATGCCGATTGAAACTGACCAATTACAGTCCTAATTATCAATGAGGAGATCCAAATTACCAGTTACAGATGAACTAATATATAATTTAGTTTTCAACATCACTTATGATCGTATAAGGCATAGAGGCGATGAGTTTATAACCTGATATTGTAGAATGAAAGACAGAGATTTGCTGGAATGATGCATCTTAAATGACTGTAGAATACAGTCATACAGACTGTATGCATAAGCTTCTTTTTGCCACACAGAGATTCATGTAAACAGATAAAAACAAAGTCAGGATTCATCAAAGTTATGAATGTGATAGTTAATTGTTAAGAGTTTATACAATTGAGTTTGAACTAGAATTTGTAATACATAAATATCTTTTTATTGTGTTACATCTTGCTCTTAGTGTGAATAGATTTTTCCAACGCTCTTCTTTAGTTAAAGTAGTAGTATGTTGACAAGCAAAGAAAAAAATAAATATACAAAATACATTAAGAATAAACACAAAATATAATTAATTTTCAACAATCATAAGTGATAATTGTGCATAGATAGAAAAAAAAAGAAAAGGCAAAGAAAGAATAGATTGTTTATAATCCACCTCTATTTAATAAACACAATCATCATCATAACGAGAATAATGAGTTATATCGCATTCAACGGTTTAATACCCATTAAGCGTAAACAAGATGCAAGTACATTTCTAGAGGCTAGAAATATAAACAGACGTATCTGTGAAATGTAGATGAGAACAAGAAGATAAAATACACAATTAGGCTAACAAAGTAAATTAAATATTCAAATGAATTATCACATTTATTTGAAGTAAACGATTAATATATGCAACACTCACTGAATAAATAAATGGGGGAGAAATAATCGCCAAAGTATTGAATACAACATACTCAAGTGAACATTGAAAATAATTCAAATAACGTTAGAGGCTTCATTGACACAACCAGTTATTTAGTTTCATTATAATGTTAAATTATAGGCGGTTAGAGAAACAATTTTTTTCGAATACAAGTTTCATTTTTGTATGCTTTATTTTGCGAAAATATCAATGTGTGATTTCAAACATTGAAGAAGCACTAAAATCATAGTAGTAAGACAGTTAGTTACTCTTCAGTCACGATGTTCCAGCAACTCAGATATCATCATCTCTATTTTACAGCGGTTATTTGTTAGGATATTATTCGTTAATACTTCTAAGATGGTTACCATAGCGTGATGAACTAGTGATGTAATGGTAAAAAGCTCAGAATTAAACTCGAATTCATGTTAATTAATTCATGGCTTTTATTTTCTTAAACATATAAACATTGGTGCAAAGGTGCACCTAAATATAGATACACCATATATAAATCACTGAATTTAGGTGTGAGCTGGAATACTTTCTGGGTTCTCAGACGAAAATAAGTGGTTTTCTTAGGAGGTTGCAATCCGAGAGCTTGACCTACAGTTCTAATCCACAAGACAGAGAAGCAGTGTTAGTTAGCAGATGCAGTCTCATGGTAGGCGGGGGCCATCAGCAGATTCATACACCATTTGTTCCCACAGGATTCTGGTGCCTGTGTGCACCAGCAGTTAAGGATCAAGTATTTCGGACTCTCCAAGATGGATCCCCCGTACTCATCAACTCGGTTCAAGTCTCCGTTGGACATTCGTTCTTCATCCCCTCAATTTCTTAAACAACACTTGTTCCACGGGGAGATAAAGAGTAGGGAATTTCAAACAGCGGCCATATTCACACGTCAAATGAGAGGATTTCAAGGATGAGAGTCTCTCCCCCCTATCGGCTGCACCAGGGCATTCAGGAGACAATGGTTAAAATTATTGGTTATTGCATTGATATTTATTTTTATTCTTCTGAATTGAACAGAGTATATTACATTAGTCTATCGAACTATTTCTAAAAAGCTTGAATTCCTAAACATATATATGCAACAGTTATCGGTACAGGTTCAGATATGTTATGAGTAAGACAGTTGTAACTAAAGGTATTGGATGATGGTCACGCTTTATCGCAAATTGGTTAAAGTTGAAAATATAACGTGGGACGTCAACCTTGCGGTGAAGGTCCTGGATCCAATCTTTAAACAAGTTATGGATGTTATACTGCTATAATATGGCATGACAACTGTGATGAGTATAACTTATAAAATTACGGTCAGCTGATTAGCGATTTTCTTCCCAGAATACTATCCACTCAACGATCTAGATCTTATCTTCGTGAGAAAATTGTCAATGTACTGATCACTGTTAAATCAACAGTGTTTTTTTATACCAGATTGGTTGTTGCAATATTCACAACAGTTTTATTTGGAGGGGGGGGGGGTAAAATACACTGAAAAAAAAACAATTGAACAGACATCGATCACACTTACTTGTTGATCTTCTTTACTTGTACATGTCAAAAGTGGTAAATTTTTCCAGGCTGAGTTTATAGCAGAGCTGTAGAAAAACAAAATGGTATGGGAAATCAACAAAACAGTAAATAGCTTTTAGTTGAAGGGGTTTGTGAAGATTAGTTCAATTTGTAAGCTGCATTCACTGTTGACAAGAACAGCGGAATGATTCAAAGCACTAAAAATAAAATTACACATCACATGAGTTTCACAAGAGAGTAGTTATCTGAGCTCAGTCAAAAAGTGGATAACGCGTTGATGTTTCAAGCAAAAGGTATTGAGTTAGTATTAACACTGGTATGTGTGTGCACCGAGCTGATGAGTCACAAATAGGATGAAACACACGTCCATCTACTATATATATCTATTTAAAATTGTATTTTAAAAAAATAGATATAGTTAAATGCATGCAATATGGATAACTTACGTAAGTTGTAATGCATATTGTAGTATGTAATGTGGTTCATATTTTAAATAAGCAGTATGAAGCACAGTAGAAAATCTGTCAGTGAAGAAGAAATAATGATACAGAATAAAATGAATAGCATTTAGTTGAGTAAGTAAACTTAATCAATTATAAAGAACAGATCGATCCTTGAATGTATCATAAAATTTCTATAGCCAATCAGTTTGTGTGAATGAGCTTCAGGACAATAGGTCCTTTTGAAGCATTGTCTATGATAGAGTAGTCGATCCTGAGGTTAGGTGCAGGGCACTGGATGGAAATGAAGAATAGGCTGACGATAGTGCGAATCGTCATCGACTGAGTTGTTCGGAACATCTGTTATATATATACCTGATGATTGCCTGCTTCGATAAGCGATGTCAGCGCGTGTGTACAAGTAAGTAATAACAAGTAAGGGAGTGGACTAACTGAAATGTAGCATCAGTCCTGGAAATAGTCAACTATTAGAAGAGGAAGGTTCCGTTCTCGACTCCATTATTCCATCAATAAAAGCCAGACTAACTGAGATATTAGCTGAAATATATTGGGGGGTTGTGCAAAATATATGCTTAAGCTAACCGGGATAATTGTTTATGGGAATTCATGATGACGATTCTTGAAGGAGTTGAATCACAATTGCGAAGGTATTATTGAAGTGACATTTCACAACAATATGGGGTAGGTCGAAAATGGTAGACCATTTGTAATTTTAGTGAGATATTTTTCTATCAGTTAGGACGTACATAACTCTACTTCAGTGGGAAAAAATAACGAAGAGGTCAACCTGTAAAATGACTATAATTTTGTGGTATTATTGTTATCGATAAAAAAGTAGTGGTACTCGGCAATTTAATATAGACTTGGATACATTGGCTTTAAGTTATTCTACTTTGGATGAGAGTCAGTAATACTACCCAAATACTTAACTCAAAGTATCTGAGTAGTTGTTACCTTTTCAAGAAACTATCCACGGAAATATAAAATATCAGTAAAAGTCTCCGGGGGGAAATAATTTTAACTCATTCAAGAGAACCTACACTACAAGCCACGCTCTAAATGTAAAAGGGTAATGACATTACCAATTTGCAAAAAACCGAAGTAGGCGAAGCAGGATTCAAATCTGGGATTTAGTGGCTGGAATCCCTAGAGAAAAAATATGTGACATCTCATACCAAACTAATAAAACACAACCTAACCTGTACAATTGATTAGCCAATTTCACAAAAGATTCTTCATTAATGGTTGTTGAAGGCCATTTTGTAAACTGATCATATTCATGAATAAGATGATCAATATCATACGTCAATGATATTTGATCAGTAGTAGTACCACCACAAACATGGAATGGAAATAGACCAGTTGAAATTGAACGAGCTTCTAGGCTGTTGATGAGGAGAGTTAAGAAAGTCGAAATAATAATAATAATGATAATAATAATAATAATAATAATAATAATAAATAGGTATTTTTTCATCAATTTATTAGAAATCAGTGAGTGTATTTCTAAAAATAATTTATGTTCAACCGACTAAATCAATGTATTATTATAGATATAAAACTTAGCTTTGATTGATTAAAATATACCATGTCCACTATCAAAAGAAGCACAGTTTATAATGAAGTTATCAAGATAAGTGGGGTTAATACGTTTTGATTACTTTACTTTCTATGGTCTGAATTAAAGAGTGAATAATTAATGCAAAATACATGTGGCAAATATAAAAGGATAATACAAATAATAAAGTTTTATGTCAGTCAATTTTGCAAGTACTACCAAAACCTGGCACACTATGTACAAATCACCTATGCCTGGATTATACTAAAGAATACAACACTAACAATACAAATTACTTTTACAAAGAATAAATTCACAAGATTAAATGTTTAAAATAATTTTGTAAACACAGATCTTAAGCGAAGACAAAGAAAGAATGCTGTTTCATACATACCTGCATAGTCTTGCATGACAATATTGTAAAGTTAATCCGCCTAGTTCCATTGCATGTGACAATTTCACCGAGTGATTATTTCTTGCCGTTGATGATGATGATGATGATGTCACTGGAAAACCAAGAAATGTATGCAAATGAATTGGTTTTTGACGTGGATTAGCAAACATTGTTGTTACCAAACATGTTACACCTAAATGATCAGCTATTTCATTTTGACATGATGATAATATGGATGATGGATTAATTGATTCATTTTGAGTTATTCGTGTATCTAATGACAGAAAAAGGTGAACAGAGAAACAAGTAAAAAAAAATTAATCAACAATTAAATTTAGACAGAATTTACTGAATTAATCGGCATCAATCATAGAGAATGATTAACTTTATTATTTAAAAATAAGGAAAACACTATTCGATAATTAAAACACCAGTGGATTGTACAGAACAACATTCATTATGTCTGTGTAAATGTGACAATAAAAAGAACCAGATATACGTGTGAACTAAATAATAATAATAAGACAGAATGATACTTTTCTACAATGTTTGTTCAAGTTCAGAATGACGTGTACAACTAGGGATTTGCATTATAAATTGAAGATAAGGTCTGAGGTTAAAGTTTACAATTAGTAATCTGGAGCATGTATTTAAACTGATCTCTAATAGATAGATTAGAAATTTGATTGGAACTCTAAAGTATGACGTTCTAGCACCAACTTAGAAATGTTTATTTATTGTTTTAACAGTAAAATATTTCCAAATAATTCATGTAATTATGTTTACTATTTTCTGATTAGCTGAAATTTTCCGAAAATCAGGATACAATTCGTCTGAGTTTAGTGTTTTAAATAAACGTTATCGAAATAAACAATTACAACCTCTTTTCATACAAATGGTAACCCGACCGTGGATGCTACCGTAACGTGGTGGTCGGGCTTGCCTATCACGATGATCCAACCGAGCTCTATTGGCTGGAACATATGCTCCTGAAGAATCTACCGTGCCAGGCAGGTCGACTGGAGAACGATGAGACTAAAAGCAGTTACTCAAGGTCTGAGGGCAAAGTCGTACTGCTGACTGCAGAAAGGTGTGACAGCAGTATGGAGATTCCCTCGGACAACCAGCATGTGCAGCGATGCTGCCTTCTCACAAGGAAAGGAGGGTTAGAAAAGCTCGACCCCAAAAATGTCACACCTCAACATACCTCACGGATTTTCGTCTCCGGCGGTAAGGGCAGCCCACTAAGGACTTTTTAAGAGCGGAGCTAATACTCAAAGAGCCTTTCATAAAAAGGTCGTGCGTGACCGACCCAAAGAAGTTGTCCCTTGGGCTCTGCGGTCACGCACCCAGGTCTCTAAGACCGACTTTAATCTACCTTCCTTTTCAAGTACCTCAAGAAACACCTTTCACAGTGAGGGCAGCCAGGAAGTGACAACAGGCTTAGTACCCCTAAAAGAACACGAGACCAAATGAGTCACAATCAAGTCATTCCTACACCCCATAATACCTCTCTTATCTTCACGACTAAATCTACTCACATTCCTTTATCTCACTGTACCGCTAAAGCGAACGATGCGAGTTCACGAAACATTATTCCTGGTCTCCTGAAACTAAACTACTAAACTACTACATATTGGAGCTTTCAATGTTCGAACCTTGTGCCAAATAGGGCAACGGGCTTCATTAGCCACAACTCTGGAATCACATGCCATCGATGTATGTTGCGTCTCCGAACTGCGCATGCAAGATCCAAGTAAAATCATCAATTTCATTTCACCAAGTACGGATAGAGAAACAACACGGTTTACGTTACGTGTTTCTGGAAGCCCTAATGCTGCTTGTGTGGTGCTGTGGTGCGAACTACTTATAAGTAGTATATAGCGTGAGCGTCAACGTAAAGTCTGGTAGCATAATATGGGGGGAAGATCAAGAAAGGAAGAGTCAGAAAACAATGGAATTTGTATGAAACGCATGAAGAGTGACAATGGATTGATGTTTGGCAACAGGAACAGTCCAGTTCCATAGGATGAACTGATCCTTTGCAAATGAACGATTTACGATATGGTTTTCCGATTTTACTGAGTAACTCTGTAATTTTCGTTAAATACAATTCGGTTGCCTCCACCTGTGTTCTCATTCACTACATTTGGTGTCGCTGCCTACGCAAAGGATGAAGGTTCCATGGCCGAAGGAGTTTGAAGACGGGGATGTGCGGGGCTTCCTGAAGGAGTTTGAGGCCGTGGCGGAGCTGGTGGGGGTGAAGGAACCGAAGGCGAAGCTGGTGGTGCTGGGGACGCTGCTGAGAGGAAGGGCGAAGGCCGTATATGACGGCTTGGACGGTGCTGGCGGGAAGACGCCATGGGAGGCGGTCGTTGAGCGGCTGATGACCGAGTTTGACAGCCCGGTGGACAGGGAGGAGGCGTTGCGGAAGTTCCGGTTGGCGAGGCTGTCGGCTGATGGTGACCCGCAGGTGCTCGCTGTGGAACTCAAAAGGTTGCTGCGCCGTGCGTTGCCGAATATCGATGAGGAGTCGGAGGCACAATTGTTGGCGTCGCAATTTATTGAGAGTGTGCCTGCCGCTGTGTCCCAGCAGCTGAGATTAGTAAATGCAGCACAACCTATGGACATCGGTGAACTGGCGAAGGTGACTCGTCAGCTGATGACACGAACAGTAGCTCCGGTCGGGTGCGAAAAGCAGGAGATAAATACTTTCGAGAAGAAGATTGAGGAGTTAGAGCGTGAGATAGCAGCATTACGAGTAAATCATAAAAGGAACGATAAATGTTACGCTTGTGGAGAGGCAGGACATTGGAAGATAAACTGTCCAAGAAGACGACGACGACGATATTTTAAACATTATAACGTGTTTTCTTTCCACCCTAGGAATCGGGAGGTTCTTGCACTAGTAGATAGAGGGGCAATTTATGCCAGAGTGTACATAAATGAACGGGAGTTAGTGTGTTTGATTGATACAGGGGCAGCTATATCGTTAATAAGCAAAGAGCAATGTAAGACAATTAAACCATGTACATTAGCTGTCCACACCATAGGAGGGCATATGCTAGAGGTGTTGGGGGTATCTAACAGTATTGTAAAAATGAGTGGAGCTGAGATAAATTTTCCGTTCGTGGTAACCACAAGCTTATCGAGACCGATATTAGGAGCAGATTTCCTAAGAGAGGTAAAAGCAATAATTGACTTGAGAAGCGGGAAAATGGTCACAAAGTACGGTTCATTGCCAATACATGAAAGTAGCGAAGTGGCTGAAATAAGGATGGCAACGGACGTCTCGACCAAGAAACCTAACGTTAACGAGTTATGCGCAAAGTATGCGAAACTGTTCACTGGAGATGGGGAGCCGTATGGATTTTGTGACAAAGTAAAGCATGAAATTCCTATAAAGAACGACCGAGTAAATATATTTACAACACGTCGTGTCCCAGTGCATTTAGAGGCCGAGGTAAATCGACAGGTCCAGGAAATGTTGAAGGAAGGGATAATTGAGGAAGCAGACAGCCCGTATAGCTCACCGGTACTCTTGGTAAAGAAACCCAATGGAAAGTATAGATTTTGCGTCGACTTTAGAGAACTGAATAATATAACAGACCTGAAACCGTGCGCAATGCCAACAGCAGTAGAAACATTAGATCGATTACAGAATGCCACGGTGTTTACAGTGCTGGATCTACGGTCAGGTTATTGGCAACTACCTATAAAAGCTAGCGATCGCAACAAGACAGCATTTACTATACGGGATAAACAGTATCAATTTAAACGAATGCCGTTCGGGTTGGCTGGTGCACCGTTCACGTTCAGAAGATTGATGACGCTGCTGCTTAAGAATCTAGATAATGTTGAGGTATATGGCGACGATGTAGTTGTATACAGCCTGACGGAAACAGATCACGTCAAGCATGTGGAAGCGGTCTTAAAGCGAATTGACGAATTTGGGCTTCGAATTAATAAGGAAAAGTCGCAGATAGCGAAAAACAGCGTCATATTGTTGGGACATAAAGTGGGAAACGGAGAAATAAAGTCATTACCAGAGAAAATTCTTACCATAAAAAATATTGCAGTACCTAATTCGAAAAGGAAGTTGAGACAGTTCCTGAGAAGAGCTGCGTTCTATAGTCGCTTTGTCAAGAATTTCAACGAAATAGCAGCGCCCTTATATAAGTTGCTGAGCAACACCAAGTTTACATGGACTGAGGCTGCCGAACAAACGTTCAACCGAATCAAAAACATGCTAGACGATCGTCAGATGACGCTGCGACTGCCTGAACCCGGTAAACTGTTTACAGTGGCCACAGATGCAAGTGATCATGGTATAGGTGCGGTATTGAGTCAGGCTGATAGAGTGGTGGAATACGCAAGTCGCGTTCTCACACCCGCCGAACAGAAGTATTCAACGATCGAGAAGGAATGCCTAGCAATCGTGTGGGCAGTAGAGAAATGGAGACCGTACCTTTTAGGTAGACGATTTCACATCGAGACGGATCATAAGCCCCTACAATGGTTGAAAACAGCAAAAGACCCCCGGGGGAAGTTGGCTCGATGGATGCTACGTCTGCAGGAGTATGATTTCAGCATCGGGCATGTGCCAGGGGAGGAAAATGTAATGGCCGATTATTTGTCAAGACCGGACACCGAAGCCGAACTTCCAGAGATAGCGTGTGCAGTTAACGGCCAAGAGGGAGACCCCCTAGAACTCGTCCGACATCAGAAAGCCGACCCTAACCTTCGGGAGGTAATCAGAGTGATAAAAGAGGGAGAAGATGTTGACAAGAGTAGAACAGATAAAGAATTAACAGTGTTGCTGAGGCAGAAGGAGAGACTGAGAGTGAACGGATACGGAGCCTTGACCTGGCGGGATGATGACGAGAATTGGGTAGCAATAATCCCAAAAGATCTGCGCCAGGAGATGATTCGTGAATGTCACCAGGTAGCGCACACAGGTATTGCACGGACAACTGATTTGCTGCGACAAAGTGCGTACTGGCCAGGTATGAGAGACGATGTTGCACGATATGTATTAGCGTGCCAGCGATGTCAACTAATGAAAGGAGATCGATGCATACGACCGCCATTGCAGTCAATTCCAGTAACAGCAGTTGGTGATTTGTGGTCAGTAGATGTTATGGGACCGTTCCCGCAGACGACAAGTGGTAACCAGTACCTGCTGGTGATGACTGAGCATGCCACACGATGGGTAAATGCCGTGCCGATGGCGGACCAACGTGCAAGGACGGTGACGGAAGCGGTAATGCGGCACATTGTGGCGGACCATGGGATACCAAAGATAATATTAACCGATCAAGGTCCCTGTTTCGAGAATGATGAGTTCAAGTCTCGTCTAAAGCAGTTAGGTATCAAGAGAGTACGAACAACGCCGTATCATCCACAGACGAATGGGTTAACGGAAAGGAATAACCGAACGCTAAAGGAATGGCTAGCATCTAAAGGGGGTGACTGGGAGAAAGAATTACCATTAATCTTGCTGGCACATCGTGCCTCGGCACAGGGAACAACCAGGAAGTCACCGTTCCAGCTGATGTACGGCAGACGGCCGAGACTACCAACGCATGATAAAACCTGGCCGCAACAACAGAGATGGAATACAACAAGATTGAGAACAGAGCGGAGACAAGCAATCAGGAATGTGAGAGAGAAACAAACATCAGACATGGAAAAGTCAGAACAGGAAAGAAAGAACTGGAGATTGTTTGAAGTGGGAGATCAGGTGAAGTGTAGAGAACGGAAATATACCACAGGAAGAGGGCCAGGGTCAGGTAAGCTGATCCCGAAGTGGGAGGGACCGTACGTCGTCACCGAGAGGCGCGGCGCAGTGTATACGATCCAGAAAGGAAACAAACAGAAACGCGTGAATGCTAGTGAACTCCAAAGGTGGTTCCAAGTGCGCCAAGAGGGCGAGCCACAAACACTGATGAAGAAGACGGCTGTACGGAGATCAGAAAGACTGCGACGACAGCTTATTAAAAGGGGGGACGAGTGTGGTGCTGTGGTGCGAACTACTTATAAGTAGTATATAGCGTGAGCGTCAACGTAAAGTCTGGTAGCATAATATGGGGGGAAGATCAAGAAAGGAAGAGTCAGAAAACAATGGAATTTGTATGAAACGCATGAAGAGTGACAATGGATTGATGTTTGGCAACAGGAACAGTCCAGTTCCATAGGATGAACTGATCCTTTGCAAATGAACGATTTACGATATGGTTTTCCGATTTTACTGAGTAACTCTGTAATTTTCGTTAAATACAATTCGGTTGCCTCCACCTGTGTTCTCATTGACTACACTTGTCGTGGCTCGCTAGAGTAGGTATAGTATTAAGTCATCGGGAACAGCTAGCTCTCTTAGACTGGACCCCGGCAGATAGTCGCTTATGCGCCGTTCGACCAAACGGGACAGTACAGACTCGGGAGGATAGGGACACTCGCCGTTGCCTCTTCGTTGTATCTGCCTACGCTTCCACTGACTGCAGTTCAGACGACATAAAAGATAAGTTTTACAGAAGCTTCTCTAAACTTCCTCAAAAAGTTAGGCGCTGTGACAAAGTAATGATGGCTGGTGACTTTAATGCTCAAGTAGGTAGACTAAGTGAAAAGGGAAGACACCTAGGTGGATCTTATGGTATCGTCGCTCACAGAACTGATAATGTCGACCGTCTGCTGCAACTATGCTCAGATAACTGCCTATTCCTAGCAAACACAACTCTAGGTATAAGGAAAAAATCTTCTGACCTGGCGACCTCCGCAGTCGTCCCAACGCTGAACCCAACTAGATCACATCGCTATAAGCCATCGGTGAAGAGGCTCTATTGAAGACTGCCGCTTATTCTGGAGCACTTGTTTAGACTCAGACCATGCTCTCGTGCAAGCGCGTATTCGTTTGCGTCTTACTGGACGTAGGAAAAATATCGCAAGGAAACCTCTTAGGATTCTACATAACGATAGCAAAGTTAAGTATATATTTCAGTTCAGTTGGCCATCAGCCACACTTCGGTTGCCCACAATCACCAGTTTACCTGAATGACGTACGTCCTCCAACCCTTTATGAATTTGAGAAAGCTATGGGAAATATAAAGTGAGGTAGAGCAGCGGGTCCTGATACATTGACCCCTGAGATTTTTAAAGTTGGTGGTCCAGTTTTAGCAGCTAGATTGACTGACATTATAGGCAAAATCTGTGAACTCGACCTAATCCCATCCGACTGGTCTCAATCGCTGATTTTCCCAATTTATAAGAAAGGAGACAATCACAGGGGAATCAGTTTAACTAATATAGTTTTTAAATTGTTAGTATCGAGTATCCTTAGATGCCTAACTAGAGCTCGTGAAGAGCAGACTAGAGAAAATCAGACTGGTTTCAGAGCTGCATGTGGCTGTATAGACCACATTTTTATACTATGACAGATCCTCGAACACAGACGCACATTTAGGCGTCCGACAACAGTTGTCTTCCTGCACCTTAAGTCGGCATTTGACTCTGTGGATCGTTAGATTCTGTGGCAGTGTCTGTCATTGAAAGGTGTACCAAACATGTACATTAACCTTATAAAGGCCCTCTTCTCGAACACAATCGGTCGAGTGACAGCTTCTGGCGAAGTGTGATCGGAATTCTTTACTTCAAAGTGGTGTCCGTCAGGGATGTCCACTTTCTCCATTCTTGTTCAATTCTGTCACAGACATGCTGCTAGATATAAACCTGATCCTCGTCTGAATTTTCATGGGTGGACCTTCTACCAGGAAAATCACTTACTGATCTAGAATATGCCGATGACATAGTTCTATATGGTGAAGAAGCTGACAAAATGCAGACTCTTCTGACCACCCTAAACAACAATGCAAGCATGTTTGGGATGCGGTTCTCATGGCCGTTAAGAGTGGAGGACATTCATAGGTTACTTGTCTTCGATTATAGGTGTGTCCGAAGCATTGCTCGTGTGTCCTGGAACGACCGAGTGAGCAATGCTGTTGTTAGGAAACTGGTGCTAGGTAAGGATGGCAAATCCATAGATGAAGTAGTGAAACTCCATCAGTTGAGGTGGTTTGGACATGTGTTGCCTATCTCTAACCACCGACTGCCTCGTCGATCCATGTTTTGTGTTGTCGGAGTAGGTTTGAACAAAGCTATGGGCGGCCAAACCAAATCATGGAAGAGATGCATAAAATCACTGAGAAATGAACTGAGTCATGCTGATAGGTGTCGACTACCTGGTTGGTGTCGACGAGAAGATAATAATTGATAGTTAGAGACCCTGAATGACATGGCTCAAAACCGGTTGCAATGGCGCAGGTGCATTCATTGTTTGTGTTCTTTCAAATCTTAACTTTCTGAATTCCTCATCACTTTATCTTCTTAAGTCTATTTCACTAGATTCTACTTCTTGATTAATATCTTCTAATTCTAACCTCTCCGACTACTGCTATTACCTCTACTACGTTTACTACTATTGGATTTGAATTGAAAATTACATCTCTGTGCTAATACGGTATGGCAACATGGACTGATGTAGGTATGTAAGAAATTCTACGTTGCTATTGGTTGATTGATTGATACAATTGGTAAACAACATTATTGATATTTATAATATTAGTGTCGTAATGCCATCGAATCAAGTTGAATGATTTGTAAATATATTTTATTTATATATATAGAAGAATGTTATTTCTCTAGATAATAGAAAGACTTGCTTTTTTCTATCTAATGGTTTTGTATATGAATGATATTCAGACCAGATTCATCTAATCATTTTAATAATATTATTATTATTATCATAAACTTGTTTATTATTTTAGCATTTAATCTAAAAGCCATTAACATTGTGGAAGTTGAACAATCGAACAAAAATCATTGCAGCAGTGTTTGCGCTTGTAACATTATTCCATGTACAAAATTGAATATGTTACCTATCAAGATATTATTTTACAACTAACAGGAGATACCTTATTGAATTGAGTCAATTTATTTGAACTTTTATGTTAACAATTTGTAATGAAACTTAATGTCTAACTACTGTCAATGATGATAGTCATCAGATTGGAAGAGTACACATTAGAAGAAATTGTGAAATTCATAGGCTGATAGTTTGATAGATGTGTAGACAGATCATTTGGGTAAAAAGTCTACACATGTGATAATTATGATTAATGATTGGTGATGTTGAATTTCTTCTTTTGTGTTTCAATTCATTTAGTGCATGCATGATAGATATTCTCAAACTAATCATCACAGTGACTATGATTAAATAGAATAAATAATAAATAGATAAGAAGTTGAATAAGAACACAATTATTATATTACAATTGTTACCATTGTTTACAAACACACAATTAAAGCGAATTTATTTTTTTAATTTATATAATCAAAGGAGAAAATTGTTTACTTACTTTGTGAACATTTCATTCGATTCAACATAAATTGTTGAGCATTATTTAATATGTCCAATAGAAATAAACCTTCACCTTTTCTAGTACTCATTCCCATAATTCGACCAAATGGAATATGCAGAAGATTACGGGCAGATTTACTACATTGAGCATGAGCATCATCACCATCACCATAATCACCAATCATTGATCTAATAGGAAGTAATAGAAACAACGACAAAAAGTGGTTTTTTGCAATAATTTATAAGCATTACTGCAATGTTTCTCTAATCTCTTAGGGTTAATCGAATTACATAGATTAAGTTGCAATGTAACCAATTAGTCTAAGTTACTTGATATCACATGTATTATATATAAAGAGGTTAGATAGTGAGCGATTGGTTGGTGGTGGTTGGTGAGGAACTCTACTCTATCTAGGTTTCATGTCAGTCCGTACTCGTCCCAACCTAGACGGTATACTGATGCATCCAGTGTGATTCGAATCCATATCTCACCTAGATTCTTAGTTGTAGAAATTGCCACTGAGTTATTTGGGTCACAAATGACCTTCATAAGGCTTCATACAGTTCACCTCCAGATACATAGAAATATTATTCTGATATTAATGTGAATCAAATTAGGCCTCTTGAGGGAGATTTAGACATGGGTTGATTATTTCAGTCACAAATATTGGCCCAATTTAACACATTGTAGAAATATTTATATCTAGATGTGATATTTCATGCGAAAACCCACTGTAGGATGCTTTTTTTTTTAGCTCAAATAAACACAACTTTTAAAGTTATTAAGCTCGTATATTTAGTATAAATTTTATTCTATCTTACAACTAAGTTGGATTTGATTTCACTGACAATTTGTTACAGAATATAGAATATTAGATCTTCATGACAGATTAATTTGTGCCTTATAGAAAGCTGAATAAAAGTTACCATTTACTTTTTGAACGAGCGAAACAGAGTTAAGATTTGAATACAATGAACTGTAGTTCCGTAGCATAATTATATAACACATGGATCGAAAAAAAAAAGATAAGACTGGGTTTATAAAGTTATGACTCTCAATGTTTTTAAACGAAGCAAATATACCGGCTACACACTCAAAACTTCTCGTTTCACTTGGCGGAGCAAGACAATAGCAGGTTTAAAACCGATAAGAATTGATATTTCTTGAAAACATCACTCTACGTAAGCATTCGTGATGTTTGCGCAATAGGGCTTTTACTTTTACACAATGATTGGTTCATTTTTCAATCAATCAGTGCCAGTCAGTGGATTGATAGCAGAAGCCTGCCATGTGAATTCTATACACGTTCCATTGTCCACCACTGTATCATTTGCTGATCTAATTTTTAGGCTGCTTCCGTTCTCTTTCAACTTTTGTTGTGATTTGACATTAGTCGAGTGAAAAGTTGGGTCCAAATCTTGGAGTTTCGAGTTTTGAAAAGCCCTAATGCACACGAAATATTTCAAAAGGATACCCCTCAGTGAGAATAGCATCAAACATTCATACTGAAGCTTAACTACACATGCTAACGTATCGTAATAATCATTTCCATGTTTAAAAATATTAAGATACTTATATAGAATGTCAAACAGTGAAGATTACTCCCTGAACATTTCTGACAGATGCGTTACTGTCCCCTCCAAACTGAGCGTCATTTCTACGCTTACACACCGATAAACGCGAGTTTCAAGTACTATTCTGCTTTCAGAATTCGATTCTGAATGTATCTCACCGACACTTGCAACATACGAAAAGTGTATTCACACATTCAAGAACATCAAGTGAATTCACGGATGTTACTGATAACTGCTTCAATAGAAGTAGCTGACATACTGTGAACTGAAATATTGGATATTGAATTTAGAATTTTTTCGTCATTGTTGAAGAATTCGACTAAGTTAATCCTCTCGTTTTGAGTTGAGTGAAGTATTGTATCTCGGTTATACTAATCCTTAGAATCATACGTGACGATCGAAAAATAGGAAAGAAATTTCATTTACCGATACCACAAGGACTGACACAATCAAATTATTCAACGTAGTTAAAGGAGAAACCTCAACACAACAGGTCGGAAATTAGTGTTTCAGTTTAGATTAATGCTAGTGATGCAGTTAACAATATCCTTTAATCTATAATATAACCCCCTTAAGCATGAATTAGTCAAAGTTTTATCTTATTATCATTAAGGTTATAAATGGACGCAGTAAGTAAACGATTGATCTTGACTGGTTGGGTAAATTTTCTTAGTATAGGTTAGCATAAATGAAAATCTGTAGTGGAATATCAGAAAAAATATAACCGATCACAATCGCGTACATGAGTTCTAGGTATTTGTAAGAAATTCAAATATAATCTAAAACGAACACTAGAAATATTTGTGTGTAGTGCTTAGAATGTTTGAGATGATAAATCAAATGGATGATGACATCAGTTCGTAATCGGAAATCGATTCAGATCCTTTTTAGGGATTCGAGAAGACAAACAATCTCTATAATCATAACAGAAAATTTAACAGAAAATTTTCCAAACAACCGAGCAATAGGCTAAAATGTAGGATTTATAATCCATTCACATAATCTGATCAACTAGATTCATCTAGAAATAAACTTAGGATTATTTGGTTATCACTGTTACTAAAATTTCACTTATTTACTGAATAAACCACATTATTAAGATTAATATTTATCAACATAGAATTATCAAACCAAATTTTATTCTAAGTAGTGATCGTATTAGACGAATATGACATCAGTCATTACTCAGTTATCAAACAACTGTAAATATCTTAGTCCCACAGGAAATTAATCGTTGCTTATTTATGATGACTCAGGTTGTTGGGCTGAGAAATGTACATCAGAAAGACATAGAGAGCACTAGGTCCCTCAAAACTGCAGATACCAACTGCTAATAAGTGCCAAATAGTATAAAATTTATGTTTAAGGTTTCTTGCCGACCACCACCTGTCAATTGGATATTTGGACTATGTGACCACTCAGCATTGATCGATTTTTGTTATTCAGTCAAATTCGATATAATTAGGACTTGAATTTGTCACTAGTCCGAAACCTAGTGTAGTTTATGCTTTGATTTAATGGTAGGAGTTACTTACTGTGATGAATTAACAGAGCTTGAACACTTATTCATTTATGTCCTACCATGTCAGGTTGGTTGGCTGGAGGACGATGAAATAAAAAGCAGTGACTTAAGGTGCGACAGCAAAAAGTTGTACTGCTGACTGTAGAGTGATGTGACAGCAGTAAGCATTTTATCTCGAATAACTACCATCTGCAGCGATGCTACCTACTCAAAAAAGAATAAAAGGTGTTAGAAAAGATCGACCCTAGAAATGTTGCGTTTGACATGACATGACTAGTTCTAATGATTTGTCTGCACGGAGAAATTCCTGAAGCTGGTCCCCAAATTACGCACTACCACCAACAAACAAAGTGTACGTAAACGAGACAACATCCAGTGATTGTTCTGGAATTGTGTGCATATTCTGAAAAAATGGCTGAATGATACCTTCAGTAGAATAACATGTAAGGAAAAGAAGATTCATTTAAGTATGGACACTGACACTTACAAAACCGGCCAATTATAACCCATTTTTAAGAGAACATAACTGAGTTGTTGAAAGTGTAAACGTTGTCCAATTTCAACCTTTAAATAAATGATAAAGAGAAATATATTGGGTGATATAACAATAATTATTACGACAAAAAACATAACAAATCATGGAAAGTCATTTTATTTGGCGTCTTAGTATGTATGATAGTGAAACATCTGCCAACTAAAATATCACGAAATCGCATGTTGACGTCGGTGGTAACTAAGAACAAATATAAGAAGTGCTCAATGCATTCAACTGTTTCATTCTCTATGATTACTCCAAGCGATCATACAGGCCAGTACTAAAACAAAATTTTAAACTTAGAACGAAAGGTGCCCGCAATAAACATGCTTTCAGTGCTACTGAAGGTGCTCAGGAGACTGTATTATGAAAAGGTCCTCATTGAATAGGATTATATCATTGTGTAATAACTCAATAAGCGAACATAATAATAGGAGATAAATCCTTTATGAGTTATATGAAGAAAGTGTAATATGTAAGAAGCTATTGATGATAACATTGAACAAACATGAGAATATTAGACAACCATAGTGAACAACAATTCGCGATTACTGATTTTGATGACAGTTTTTCAAGAAGTACTATTGGAGTAGATGAAGTTTTTTCTTCTCATATCTTTCTCTATTTCTCGGCGTAATGTATTCTTTGGCCTTCCTCTTTTCCTTTTGCCTTGAGGGTTCCATGTGAGGGCTTGGTCTCGGGACGCAGTTAGGTGCTTTTCGTAGTGTGTGTCCTATCCACTTCCACCGCTTCCTCCCGATTTCCTCCTCCACTGCGATCTGGTTTGTTTTCTCCCACAGTTCGTAGTTGCTGATGGTGTCTGGCCAACGAATCTGAAGTATTTTGCTTAGACAACTGTTAATAAACACTTGTATCTTCGCCAAGTTTCCAACATCGATTGGGAGGTCCGTAGATGCTGCTTCGATGTCGGATGGATTCAGCGGAGCTGGTCGATTCAAGAGTTCCTTAGAGTGTTCTACTCACCTGTTTCGCTGTTGTTCAGTGTTTCTGATTACTTTGCCTTCCTTGCTTTTCACTGGTCGTTCTGGTTTACGATAGTTCCTCGAGAGCTTCTTTGTTGTTTCGTACAATTGTCTCAAGTTTCCGTCTCTTGCAGCCTTTTCCGCCGTCAATGCTAGATCTTCCACATATTTTCGTGTGTCAGCTCTGATGCTCTTCTACACTTTCCTGTTTGCTTCTGTGTATGCAGCTTGTGCGGTAACTTTCTCTGCTCTTTTTCGGCTGACATTGATCGCTGCCTTCTTGTTCCTCCTTTCTTCAGTTTTTTCACGAGTACTAACAAACATCCAGTCCTTGTGATGGTACTTCTTGTGACCCAGAACTTCGTGAAATGTTGAAGTGATTGCCTCCCTAATCCCTTTCCAATTGTTCTCCAAGGTAGTTTTTACTTCATTGAGTATATCGTGCAAGGCCTGTAACCTATCGCTGAGGGCCATCTTGAATTCGTTGAGCTTTGCGGTATCCCGAAGAAAGGTCGTATTAAACTTCTGTGATGTTGTCTGCCCCGTTGTCCAGTGCTTCTTTAGTTTCCGTTTCATTTTGGCGATCTGCAAGTGGTGATCTGAAGCTATATCAGCTCCTCTCTTGGTTCTCATATCCTCCATGGTCCTTCTGAACTTTTCGTTGATACAGATATGGTCAATTTGGTTTTGAGTAGTGTGGTCCGGTGAAATCCATGTGGCTTTGTGTATGCATTTGTGCGGGAATATTGTCCCACCGATGACCAGTTTGTTGAGGGCACATAGGTTTGCAAATTTCTCACCGTTTTTGTTCCTTTCTCCCAGTCCATGTCGTCCCATGATGTCTTCATATCCTATGCTGTCCATTCCAACCTTAGCATTCAGGTCTCCCATAAGAATCGTCAAATCCTTTTGGTGAGCATCTGTCGACGATTGATTGCAGCTTTTCGTAGAATTTATCTTTATCGTCGTCATTGTAGTCATTGGTAGGTGCATAACATTGGATGACCTTCATTGTAATGTCCTCTTTCTTTGTTTTGAAGGATGCTTTAATGATCCTGAGTTCATGAGATTCCCATCCTATCAGTGCCTTTTGTGCTTGTTTGGATAGCATCAGTGAAACTCCTTGTGTATATGAAGCCTTTTCCTCTTCATGACCAGAGTATAACAGCAGTTCCCCTGAAGCTAGTCTCAGTTGTCCTACTTGTGTCCAATGTGTTTCACTGGTGCCGAGCACCTCGAGGTTGTATCTTTTCATTTCTGCCGCAACTTCAAATAGTCTCCCAGTCTCCCACAATGTACGAAGGTTCTAGGTACCTAATAAAATGGTTTGTCTAGTTGTCAGAAGAGGCATCAGCCTCTTGACTTCCGAGGGAACTCGGCTTTCATCACGCGACGTCATAATTCTTCTTCCAACTCGCAGGGCAGAGTTAAAATGGTTTGAATTATTTCTTTTGGTTAGGGTTTTTTGGCAAGTTAGTTTTTTGACGGGATGGGGTCGCCAACCCCATGCTCAACCCCCTCCTCCTTTATCCGGGCTTGGGACCGACAGTAGCTCTGAAGGGTCTTTTAATTGTGGACATAGTAGCTAGGAAATGTTTTATGGCTAAATCAATCTATTGTTGCTGTCATAAAAACATTTAAACATAAATACATGCATAAATATTTATATAACATTAAAAGGAGAATTAAAAAATATAGTGCATACCACATAATGTATCCTATCGAATTGATACTTTTCGTACCGAGAAATCGCCGCTGCAATATCCCTACGTATTAAAAAAATACATATACATATACATATACATATATTTACATACGATTGTAATAAATAATACAATGAGGTATAGTTGATCAAGATGGATAATAATAATTCAAGAAAAAGTCACTGTATAAATTATTTACCTGGTCAGATATAAAGTTGATTTATCACTTTTTAATAGGATAATATTTTGTTTTGAGAAATTTACGTCGTTAATATTTTCTGTCGACATACAAATTAGTCCATCACTGTCAGACAACAAAAAAAAACAAGGCGAAAATGGAGTACATAACAAATAAAACAATGAATTATTGTTTGGAATAAGATTTTACTGTTGTTTACCGTGTTTGATCCACTAACTTGCCAAGATCACGTTATATAGTGCGCTCTGCCCTTAATCGAAAAGATTGCCAATACTCAGTAGTCAAATAGTGAAAATGTTGCAGTCATAAGAGAGATAAGTTAGGTCTTGAATAAATTAGTAAATTTGTGTTTGAGATGGAATACTATATGTGCCAAAAACAAAGCGGGTGGTTATCTTTGGGGGATACTCGCTGAACCTATGACCCAGAAGTCTAATCCACGAGCCAGTAAAGCAGGATTCTGGAGCCCATGTCCACCACCAGTGTGGAGTCATGTTTTTCCAACTCTGCTTGGTGGATCCCCCGTATTGATCAACCCGGTTCAAGCCGCGCAGCTAGACATACGCTTTTCGTCTTCTCAATAACTTAAACAACATTCTCGCTACGAAAAGGTAGTGAGCAGAACTTCGCTGACAGTGGCTATATTTGTGTGGTCACATAAGAGCATTTCAAGGAGGACAAACTCCCCCAGTTATGAATGTACCAGATAATTCGACGACAAAGTTACGCATTGGCCGGATGATGCAAGTTAGAATTTGTAAAAGAATATTAATCGCTCTACAATTATAGACATAAGTTGGCAATGACTGTCCAAAATGCGCAGTATTTGGGTCAATAGCTCCCCTTTCATTGCCACTAACCATCTGGCATAGAAGGGCATGATGATTAGACAGAATGTAATTGTTGTTGGGGGGTTAGCTTACTGAAAATTTGATTTGTGTACATAACCAGGAATGTGACGTCAATAATGTAAGTATAAATGATGCTAACCAACCAACTTATACTATGGCATCGCTGGAGTGCGATTTAAATCAATGATTCATTTTGTTGAAACAAGTTCTCTGAATCACTAAATCACATACGCGCATAAACGCAATACTACTGGTGCCAATAGCATTATTACGCTCTTAGAAACTACAGTACAACGCGTTATTTATTGAGTTACTGAATCAAGATAGGAGCTAGCTTGTGAAATGGTTATAAATTTTATTTGTAAGAGTTTGTTTTTCTCCGCTGTTGACAATAGTGAGATAATCCCACACCAAATGAACATATCTCGGGCGACTAATCAGTTACAGTTATAAATATCATCAACTGGTTGATACAAACCTTTACAACTAACTACTGAACAAAAACAGTTTATGTAAAAGTACAACGAGCAAACCAATCAGAATAAAGATAGCATAGTATTTTTATGCGAACTTATAAGATCAATGTTAGATTGTTTGTTGTAATTAACTAAGTAAAAATTGGTAATAGTTAGTTTTTAAAATGTTTGGAATTGATAAAAATATTTATTATACAACCAAACAATCAATATGGTATGATGATTGAACTAGATCACAAGAAATGCCTGCTCCTAACGCAGATTATGTTAAATTACTTTTAGTGTATCAGTGCCTAGTCAAGGGTTTTGTGTAGTTATACAGCATTCTTCCATTCTAAATCCCAACTGTAGATAAGAACCTTTGATTTTTTTAGATTTTTGAACGAGTGATAATGAATCATTGTATTAAAGTTGATATCAGTGATAACCAAAACCCCAATAAGGGCCACAACTCACAACACATTAGCCAATATGTAATATTAACCAGTGTCATTTTGCGATAATAAATAATTCCAACATAAAAAGGGTTGATTATCATATTAAAAAACAATTATTCACTGTAAATTTATCACTATTTAATCTTAATTGTTCTAAAAAATAAACACTTTTTTGATCGAGTAATAAATTGGTCAACGTCATGTGTATACTTTTGTCAAATTTTAGAAACTCTCTCTTACATGAAACAAGAGAAAACATCAAATTTTTAGGTAGCCCATTGAAGACTGTGATACTTACAGACTTTTGTAAGCTAACCCATTGGCTAATAGCATATTAACTAGCGAATAAGCTTTCTCCACATAATCTGATTCGTATTCGTAACTGGTAAATTGAATGTTCATACGCTAGTAAAAGATTTAAAGAGAAATTAAAAATGATTGATTCATCGATGTAACTGGAAAATAGTAGGAAGAGGGAACACACATGAATTTAAAGAAGAATAAGTGCCAATTTCATTTATCTTTTCACATCCAACTCAATTTTGTGTATTGCTTTATACTACTTGTCGTTATTCAGTAACCACAACTATATGTAATAATTTCTGAACGTGTAGTGTAACGTACTTCTATTTGCAGTATTTACATAAACTAATAACATTCATTTTATTTTTTAATTTAACTACATTTTTTCAACAACTGCAACCGTTATTTCCAGTCATTTTGCGTGCCTTGAAACTTGATTTAAATGCCTAAAGTCTCCACTTGACTGTTGAAGGTCATTACCCACAGTCATCTACACTATCGTATGCCGTTATTAGTCTTCATATGATTATTACAAAGAATTATTGGCCTTACAAACATACAAGCACGTCAGTCGCTACAAACGTCTCACAAATTGTAATTAATTTACAAATATTTTGTAATAATAGAACCGTTATTTCGATAAATCATTGTTTTGAGCCTCGATTGCATGCGTGTTTTAGTTACGCGTGTAAGTTGCGTATTTCAATAGACATAATAATTTTGCAGTGTTTAGAATTCGGTAAAAAAATCGTCACTTTTTATTAGTCTAATCATGTTTTTTTGTATATTTAGTTCAAACTTCTAGGACAGCTAATCCTTTCAGTGGGATATTTGTAAATTGATTGAGAAATGTTTAGGCGATTTAGTTTGAATAAGTTTTAAATACTTTTAAAATTCACAAGTCACACTCGGCATTGTTCATTCCATGTATTCCTGTAAATATTGTCATTTTGTTATTCAGGTAAACTTAAGGAATTTTTTTTCAGACGATTGTTGATTTCTGTGATGATGATGATGATAATGATAATAAGAGTCAAATAACTAAGTTTTATTTAATAGCAATTCGACAAACAAGTGGAACATGTTGGATGGATCGTAAGCATTTAAGTCAGATTATCATTTATTCCAATTAAGATTCACGTTTGACAGGCAAAAATGCCTAAATAGTTTTTTTTCAAATTAGTTAGCCAAAATTACACGTGCAACCTAAATTACAACAATATCTTATAGATGAATTTGCTGCAAAGACGGTAGCAGTTCATGATTTCAAACTTGAACCATGTATGCAAAACAGCATCACATTAAATTGTTATTATATCGTGACTAGAATACTTACTTTTTAATGCACAGTCAATTGGTTGTTGATATTTGATCGAAATTTTTTCAATTTCTAGTTATTTGTTATACGTACTTTCATGTTCTACAATCTGTACAGATCCAAATATTCTTGTTGTTAATTAGTTTTTATCTTTTCTGAATGCGCATGACATATGACAACATAAGTTTAAAAAAGGTATTCTATTCGCTCTTGTTCGCTTTTGGTTAGTGTTAGAATAAGATGAATGAAAATTTAGAGTTGTTGGATTAAAGTGCGAAGACAATAATGCAGATGATCAAAGAGTGCGAAGGTGTGCTGATTTCGGTATGATGAAAACTATTAGAGATTAGAAAGATTGCTGAGTGAGTGTAAAATCAATACCGTTGGTACGAAGACTCTTGTCACTGTTTATCATTTCTTCTGGTTGAATGCCTTCTATTTCTAGTTGAAACAGATAATTTTTTTGTACAGAGCTGTTAGAACAACAAAAGTAACTAAGAATGTGTCGACACTGTGGATGTAATATATTTACAAGATATAATACACCACTAGACAAGAGAATCGATTATACAACGATGCACAAATGTCGACCGACAGGACTGAACATCAGACCAGATAATCGTTTCATTAACGTTCATACAAGTCAGTAAGTCAGCAACAACGTAGAACTTGTTACGTACGTACATCACTTCAGGTTGTCATACTGTGATGTGTGCTACTTATACGAACGATATAAGTAGTATAAGAAGGGACGTGAAAGAAGAAGTCTCACGGTCAGAAGAGGAAAACGGAAAGCAAATGGAGCAAAAGCAAGAAGTAAATGGAGTACCAAGAGGAAGGAAAGGAAGCAACCACAGGAATGGAAGAAGGATGGAGCGTTGGAAGTCACGACTCAAAGATGGTGTGCAAATAGAGTATTCAATCTAATGTTTTCGTTTTTAATTGACTCAGTGTAAATTTGCATAATACAATCTTCCTCGCCTGCCTCATTCTTCTCAATACCACATTATCACAGAGATGTACTTTTTAATTCAAATCCCATAATAGTAGAGGTAGTAAAAGTAAAAGCAGTAACGGAGAAGGTTAGGGTTCGAAAATATTATTCAAGAATTAGAATTTACTGAAACAAATTGAAAAAGAGAAATATAGAGGTAATGAGGAATTCAGAAGATTGCAATTTGAGAGAATTCGAAGAATGGATGCACTCATACAAGTAGTCCACACACAGCGAAACCCAGTATAAATAAGAATCGTAAAAATGAATTCCCGATATGAAACAATGTCATAGATTTAACACATTTAACATACTTTTACTAAAAAAAAAATTAAAAAAAATAAATTTTTGCTAAATAAATAAACTAACCCAGGAAAACTGGAAACTCAAATATTATGGAAACCAACCCAAACACACACCTAATTATAAACTACGGTAGCAACAACCTAAAAACCCACAAAAACAAGTACATACAAACTTTGTTCAAGAGAGAGAAGACACACAGCAGCACATATGAAGCACTGGAAAATGAGGAAAAGCCTCTGAAGTTTATGCTGATCATGTTGTTCAGACGAACAACGAAAGCTCCATAATCAAAACATTTAGCTCAAAAAACGAAACACCACCACTAAATAAACATACAAACTTCAGACGAAAACATGACTGATAGAATTTCAGTTACAACTTCTGAACAGTACAGAAACAAAATAATGTACATGAGATAGAGGGGATAATTACAAGTGTAATAAAATTGCAATTATGTTTACCTGATAGTTTGATTCCAACTGTTCACACGTTACTTTGCGAATACGTCGCCAGAATTCAGTATCACGAGACTGTATTTCACTTGTAGTATTGAGTATTGGTTCTAAGAAGCTAACTGATTCATTTCGATCATAGATTCCGTCTGGTGACTTTTCTTTATTTGACATTTGGATATCTCGATTTGCTTGTACATAGATCTGTTGCAGAAAAATGAACGGTAGATTTTTCCTAACAGCTTATTATTTATTTCATTGCTGGTGTTAAGGAATCGAGTTGGATTGGGCATATGTAAAACAAGTCCCAATCGCCTCAACTGATGAAGATTCACTCCTTCATCAATTGATTTGCCAGTGCCATTTCCATAACCTCAGCATTGCTTTTTTGATTGTCCCAGGATATACGAGCAATGCTTCGAAGACACTTTTGATCCAATACTATCAACCTATGATTATCTTCTCTGACTGGCCATGTTTCACATCCATATAGAAGGACGGAGCGAACTGCTGCGCAATAATCGGATTTCTCGCCTACACCATAGGTGACGCAAGTTGGCAAAAGCCAGTTGAGCCTTCTGCATTCATGACGAGACTTCGTCAGACACCAGGCCATCAGGACTGATGAGAGTCCCAAGATAGGTGAAACAGTCAATACGCTTAACTGCTTCACTCCCTATCACTAGTCCAGGTGTCAACGCGAGCCAATCTTAAAGCAGCAGTTTTCATTTAGAGTGGGAGAACCGCATGCCAAACGTACTAGAATGAATGCTTTCGGTGGTCAGAAGATTGCATTTTGTCCGCTTCTTCACCAAATGGAACTACGTCATCTGCATATTTTAAGTCAACAAGTGGATCTGCTAATCGAAGATCGTTTCTAGAAGCGTGTCTATGACAACGTTGGATAAGAATGGAGAAAGTGGACAGTCCTGACGATCACCACTTAGAGCAATCGATTGCGATGATAGTTTGCCATAAAGCTCTGACTCGAGTAGAGAGTCTGCCCAAAGCTATTGTACATTTTAGTGGCCCGCGGTCTGACTCCAATTTAGATGAGCAATTGAATATGACAGAATATAAATCTTCCCTCCAATTTCCTTCAACCATATTTAGGCGAACCCCATTTATGCGACGGTGGCAATAAGAAGCCAAATACAGATTCTGTTGAATGAGTTTGTTTGAGGCCTGCAGAAGGTAATATGCTTTTTTGGTACTCCTTTCAATGACAGACACTGCCACTGAACCTCTCGATCGACAGAGTCGAACGCCGCCTTAAAGTCGAGAAATACGACTACTGCGGAACGTCTGAACGTGTGCCTGAGTTCTATGACTTCATGATGTGCGAATATTTGATGTATACATCCAAGTTCAGGTCTGAAAACAGCTTGATTTTCTTAGGTCTGCTCTTCACAAGCTCTAGTTAGGCGTGGACGTATCAATGAAGCTAATACTTTAGACACTACTAGTTAAACTGACTCCTCTGTGACTATCATAAAAGGAGTTTTGTCCTTTTTTATGGACTGGGACAACCAGTGACTGAGGCCAATCAGATGAGATTACGTTCAGTTTCCAGATTCTACCTTAGACGTCAGTCAATCTAACTGTTACAACTGGACCACTATCCTTAAACTTTTCCGGGTGTCAGACTATCAGGACCTGCTGATCTCCCTGGTTTAAAATTGCCTATAGCCTATTGAAAACAGAGTTAGACTGACTAGTTTAAAAGAAGGCTACAAACATATCCTAGACTTAACTGTTACTCCCAAGCTGGAAATAAGGCGAATAATGTGACAAGTTTATATGAGTCAACCTTTGACTGATAAGCTAAAAAATGTAATTAGTTCTTTGGTCTAAAATAATCTTTAAGACTTTCTACATTACTTGAAACAAAGGCTTGTATTGAAAAGCCTTTGTTTTTCACTACTCTAGATTTCATTGTTTCCACAGCCTTTCTGGATATCATCCCAAGCTACCTTGGGGTGAGCATCACTCACATGTCTGTCGAACTGTTTTTCTAGTTTCTCTCGGAACATACTCTTGGTTTCTGTCACTAAGTAGAAATCCAAGGAGTTTGCTTGCTGTCTCTCTTACGTCCAGTAAGCCGTAGACATACATGCTCGTACTAGAGCAAGCGGCGGTCTATGCTCCACTGAGGGTGACAGGCGTAAGTAAGTCAGTAAGTACTAGAGCATGAACCGAGTCTAAACATGAACTCCGAAATGAGCGGTAGTCTTCTATCGAACCTCTCCATCCGTGGCTGATAGCAATGAGGTCTAGTCGTGTCCAGCACTGAGTAGATTAGGGGGGGGTTCGCCAAGTCGAAAGATGTTTTAATTCCTAAACTTGACGTTGGTACTTGTCAGAAATAGACAGTTGTAGTGTGTACTTATGTGCATCCATCCGAACCCCGCAGCATTGCGGATGATGCGTTAACATTTGGAGCGATGCTAAGTCGGTTCGAACTTTATTATGAAAATTAACAATGTGATCAGTTGTATCCAATTATGGAATTCAAAATAAGACGAGATGCTAATCTTTAATCTCACTGCTTGACCGTTCACTGTTACTAAAAGTAGATTTAAGGATCCAGTTTTAAAGCAAATAAATGCAGAAAAACTTTCTTACTATATTATGGTCACGGTCTTTGCAGTTTTAAGTTCAAAATGACGACCAAATGGATAAGCTAACTGGTTTATTCGTACCTAATTAAAGCCAGTGAAAGAAAGGGAGAATTCGCTATACGGCAATGGTGTGAATTTGATGTAAACTTGAATATATATTTGTTTTTTTAAAACTCTGTTTTTCTGATCTGAGAAAAGTCGAGCGAAGTTTGGTGGCGACAGATAGTGGACAACAAACAGTAAAGGATATAATATATTTCATGAAAATAGCCATCTTCACTATATATCTAATCACTTATCTGATAAACAATAACAGTAAAAGGGATTTAGGTGCTGATCCATCTATCTCCGATTTTAGAAGTTTACCTATCAACCGTGTAGCCTTTAACAGTTTTTAAATTCAACAAGTAATTTATTTAAAATGAGTCTAAAAAACAGATTTAATCATGAATAAAATACTCCAAATATAAGTTTGTAAAAGGATGATCAACAAATATTTTCCATTAGCATACACTTACTTTGTACAGATGTTCAATTGGGTTTCTTCGCAATTCGATTTCATCCCCATATTTCGAAAATCCTGATGCTAAGGTATCTAGGAGTTAAATTTTTTATTCATCAGGGAATACATCAAATAGAATGATTTTAACATTGTATTAATTTGTTTTAAACAATTTCTTCACCATAAAACAAAATTATTTGGGTTTTATGGTGGAATTTCGGATTAACAGAGGGTGGAATTGATATTCCACCTAATAAATAACACGATGTTGTTTAATAATGTAGTGAAACGCTTTCATAGAGTTACATCAGCCAATCGCTACATTTTGATTGCTACATAATTTGTAGTTTTAAATCAAATCTATCAACAGAGTAATTCGCTTAGCTACAGTATACTTACTGATTTAAGTCTGTTACCCCTAATGGAGCATAGGCCGCCGACCAGTATCTTCCAACCTAGTTTGATCCAAAAACATGAACATACGCTGCCAAAGGTACTAGGCTAGTGAGAGGACTGACAAGTCACTAAGCTGTAATTCGGGGACCGGTTAAGGTGTACGCAAGTCATTGGCATTTATACTTTTCCTCCTGATCTCGACAAGGACATATAAGCGAAGACCTTAGCTAAGCACACAGGCTCTATTTAACAGAGTGTTTTGTTTAACATATATCCCCTAGTGTTTGACTTTGTGGTGTCAACTGAGTGTAGGTATATATGTCTGGATCCGCTTAGTTTCGTAGATGATGGTTGGTGACTCGCCTTATAATTAGATGACTAGTTTCCAGTTTCAGATCCAGTGATTTGTGTAAGGCGTGATGGTATTACCTGGATATCTAAACGGATGTACATGAAATGGGATTCAAATATAAAGCCTAATTGTTGAATATTGTAGGCTTTAACTACTACGGTACACGAGGTTCGAATTCTCTCAGGACTTTGAATTAGGTAAGTGTAGTTGAAGGTAGAGAAAACACTCAATCACGATTACGGTCATTGATGAGATAACTTTAGGATAAGGGAGAAATATCTCATTATCTCATTCTACTTCGTGATAAACAGCAAACAAGGTGTCTTACTGAATAAAATAAATGGTTATTTCGAATGTTAAAGTACACAATAGAGATATTTGTGAAACCAATAAGAAACCGGACGTTTCAGGGAAAAATTATTATTGGTCGGCACTCATTGCTCGGATATATGTTTTTATTAACGTATTCCTCATCTACCAATCATCCATAGATTTACATAGCTCTAACAAACAGAACCATTCCACGGCGTGGACGATCGGGAAGTAACATTCACCCTTATACCCATAAAAGCACACGAGACCAAATTAATGACAATCAAATCCTTTCTACACCTCTTATCTCCTCGACCAACCCTTTCCTCGATCGTTTATCACCTCGCGCCACTGAAGCAAACGGTTTGAGCTCACGAAACATTATTCCTGGTCTCCTGAAACCACGTACTAAATTACATATTGCAGCTTTCAATGTTCCAACCTTGTGCCAAATAGGGCAACGGGCTTCATTAGCCAGAACTCTGGAATCCCATGCGATCGATGTATGTTGCGTCTCCGAAATGCGCATGCAACATCCAAGTAAAATCATCAGTTTCATTTCACCAAGTACGAATTGAGAAACAACACGGTTTACGTTTCGTGTTTCTGGAAGCCCTAATGCTGCTTGTCGTGACCTCGCTAGCGTAGGTATAGTATTAAGTCATCGGGAACAGCTAGCTCTCTTAGACTGGACCCCGGCAGATAGTCACTTATGCGCCGTTCCACCAAACGGGACGGTATAGACTCGGGAGGATAGGGAAACTCGCCGTTGCCTCTTCGTCGTATCTGCCTACGCTTCCACTGACTGCAGTTCAGACGACATAAAAGATGACTTTTACAGAAGCTTCTCTAAACTTCCTCAAAAAGTTAAGCGCTGTGATATAGTAATAATGGATGGTGACTTTAATGCTCAAGTAGGTAGACTAAGTGGAAAGGGAAGACACCTAGGTGGATCTTATGGTATCGTGGCTCACACAACTGATAATGTCGACCGTCTGCTGCAACTATGCTCAGATAACTGCCTATTCCTAGCAAACACAACTTCAGGCATAAGGAAAAAATCTTCTGACCTGGCGACCTCCGCAGTCGTCCCAACGCTGAACCCAACTAGATCACATCGCTATAAGCCATCGGTGGAGAGGCTCTATTGAAGACTGCCCCTCATTCTGGAGCACTTGTTTAGACTCAGACCATGCTCTAGTGCGAGCGCGTATTCGTTTGCGTCTTACTGGACGTAGGAAAAATATCTCAAGGAAACCTCTTAGGATTCTAAATAACGATAGCAAAGTTGAGAATATATTTCAGAAACAACTAGAAAAACAGTTAGGCGACCATGTGGTAAGTTATATCCACCCTGAGGCAGCTTGCAATGATATCAAAATAGCTGTGGAAACAGAAGTGATATCTGCTAGTAAGGTGAACCATAAGGTTAGGGAGAAGCCGTGGATTTCAGTAGCATCTACCGAACTGATGGATGCGCCGAAGCTCATCCCGCCTGGCTCTGAGTGCGATGAGGAGCAGAGTTAGCTTAGGAGCACGCTGATACAAAGCCTACGCAATAATCGTGAACAGTGGTGGGTAGCGAAATTGAGAGATGGAAAAGGCGGCGGCAATAGGAAGCAGTAGGTAACTATTCACACTCATCAAGAAAACCGGTATTAGGAACCCGAATGTGAGTGAGACTATCTGGGAAAAGGATGGTTTTATTATTCATTCTCAATACAGGAGATTGGATCGATTGGCAGAACACTTTAGGGATCAGTTCAGTTGGCCATCAGCCACACTTCGGTTGCCCACAATCACCAGTTGACCTGAATGACGTACGTCCTCCGACCCCTTATGAATTTGAGATAGCTATAGGAAATCTGAAGTGAGGTAGAGCAGCGGGTCCTGATAGATTGACCCCTGAGATTTCTAAAGTTGGTGGTCCAGTTTTAGCAGCTAGATTGACTGACATCTTAGGTAGAATCTGTGAACTCGACCTAATCCCATCCGACTGGTCTCAATCGCTGATTGTCCCGATTTATAAGAAAGGACAAAAGTCCTCCGGAGACAATCACAGGGGAATCAGTTTAACTAATATAGTTTCTAAATTGTTAGCATCAATTATCCTTAGATGCCTAACTAGAGCTCGTGAAGAGCAGACTAGAGAAAATCAGACTGGTTGCAGAGCTGCATGTGGCTGTATAGACCACATTTTTACACTACGACAAGTCCTAGAAAACAGACACATTTAGGCGTCGTTTTCCTGGACCTCAAGGCGGCATTTAGGTCAATGGATCGTGAGGTTCTTTGGCAGTGTCTGTCATTAAAAGGTTAGCCGAAGAAGTACATGCAGATAGGTATCGACTACCTGGTTGGGGTCCGTGAGATGATAATAATTGATGGTTAGAGACCCTGAATGATATGGCTCAGAACTGTCTGCAATGGCGCAGATGCATACATTATTTGTGTTCTCTCAAGTCCTAACCTTCTGAATCCATCAATCTGTCTTTCTCCCTGTAAGTTTATTTTACTACGTACTAATTCTTGAATAATATCGTCGAACCCTATCTATCCTATTATTGCTAATACTTTTACTACCTCTGCTAATAAGGGATTTAAAATGACGATTTCATCTCTGTGCTCATGTGGTGTGGCAACTTGAACTGATGTACTTACGTATGAAGTTCTACGTTACTTTCGATGATGATGATAGATCATAGTGTGAACGTATAAAACGGTTTTGCCCCTTAACGAATACTGGTAATCTTAAGGTGTGCGCACACTCATTTGAAATACGCGGTAAATATATTGAGAATGGTGTTGACAACTCCACGATCAAATTGTCTACTTCACATGAGATGATATTGAAAAAGTGAAAAATAACACTCGAAGTTCTCCTCAGTCGTACGACTAAGAAATAGTTACAAAAGTAATGGTCAGTCGAGTAGAAATAAATATCCAAAAGATATATCAAATAATTACCAAACTGAGTGCCCCAATCACCAATGTAATTTATTCCAATTACTTTATGTCCAAAAGCTTCATTGATATTTTTAACAAAATTTCCCGTTACGGTAGCTCGGAAATGTCCCAAATGAAATGGTTTCGCAATATTCGGGGAGCTTCATGTAACCAAGGTAAAATCAAAAGAACAGGGGTTGGTGAGTGTTAGTCTACTTGAAGAAAAATAGAGGAGTACCTATAGTCTACGACGACAGTTTCACGTTGTTTCGAAGTTCCCTCATTGCCTATGAGAACTCTTGGAACATGGTTCGTGAACAAAAGGTTTCTCAAACAATTTCTTAGATCTATAAACGTGGAAGAGCAATAAGAAATTTTTAAAAAACTCACCGTGCATTTGAATGGTCTTGATTAATTAAGGATGAAAGTGAATCACGAAGTACTGAGCAACAGTCGTCAAAAGCATGATGGTAAAACAAATGACTGTTGAAAGTTAAAAAACCCGGAGAGAATACTAAAATCAACACGAAAGAGTTACCATGAAATTTAAATCTATATAAAATTCATTTTCAAAAAATAGTGATAAATCGGAAAGAAGCATAATGGCTGGTCCTAAAAAGGGAGACGTGATATTTCACTTAGAATTCCAACACTTCGTGATTTGGGTAATCGGTGAACACATACCGGTGTATGCATACATAATTTAGACATGTATGAGACTTAATTTCTTACGCTATCTTATGAGTTGCATAAGCTTTGAATAAGCTTGAATAATGTTATAATCTGAATTTTTGCTTCTTTATTACAAAAATGATGTCACCGTAATGATTTTAACTTACGACCTTAATATATCCTTGGTTCATTTTTCCAAGACAATAACGATAGATGAAAGAAATTCATAGATGCAACAAGAATGATACGTTTTCTTACGGGATTAAGGCCACAAAACGGGTACGAATAACTCGTGATGTAACGCACGCATTGAAAATGAAGGAACAATATCCAATATCCAATATCTTTTTCACGAGCTAGTGTAAACCAATTTGATTTCTTCGCGCTCGATTCTTGTTCTTTCGGCACGATCCCAGGTGTTCGGTAATATCCAACGGATGGAGGTCTAGACACTCGACTGTTTAATTCTAGTCAGTTGGCAGTTGGTTGTGATTTTGCATGTCTCGGGATTTGAATGAAAACGTTTGTTTCATGGCAGTAAGGTTTCTGGATACCAGCAGCCGTCACATTACCAGACCGGAGATCAGTTAGTTGCAATGTGGAGAGTAATAAGGATAATGAGGATAAAATTCTAATGCTAATATGAATAAAATTTCAGAAATGAGTAATTTATACTTACCTACTTCAAAGTCCTGAGAGAATTCGAACCTCGTGTACCGTAGTAGTTAAAGCCTACAATATTCAACAATTAGGCTTTATATTTGAATCCCATTTCATGTACATCCGTTTAGATATCCAGGTAATACCATCACGCCTTACACAAATCACTGGATCTGAAACTGGAAACTAGTCATCTAATTATAAGGCGAGTCACCAACCATCATCTACGAAACTAAGCGGATCCAGACATATATACCTACACTCAGTTGACACCACAAAGTCAAACACTAGGGGATATATGTTAAACAAAACACTCTGTTAAATAGAGCCTGTGTGCTTAGCTAAGGTCTTCGCTTATATGTGACATTCTCCCACTTTGTTTCCCGTTGACGACGACGTTGTGAACCGCAAGGTGTGGGCGTGCATGCAGAGTCAAGTATAATTCGGGGATGATAGCTCCAAATTGTCTTCGCATAAATCGAAGAGTTGAATCTGTCTTGTCTGCGTCCCCAACATAGGTCGAAATGGTGTGGAGTCTTTCAATGGTTATCAAACCGAAATCTCTATCTGACGGGACATTAAGGAGTCGACTTTAATAAATAGTATAAATTGTTTGCATCATGTAGGCAGCATGTAGATACTGTGACAATTCGGCTGGTTTCGTTCTTCGCCGTCCATCTTGCTATTGTTTTAAGGCCATTTTGAAACTCAGCTAAACTGTCATTGCTTCCGTTGGACCTCCAGATTTTCGTGTCATGTACGCAGATTACAGCCGCTAAGCTAATTTTATTTCCAATATCGAATATCTTTTTCACGGACTAGTATAAATCAGTTGATTTATTTGCGCCCGATTCTTGTTTTTTTCGATGCGGTTCCAGGTGTTCGGTAGTGGAGGATGGTCAACTGTGAACTCTTGATTTTGAAACCCTTCAGTTCGCATGCACTTTATTTGCCTTGGTTGGAAACCTTCGCAATTAGGAGTACGTGAAGTAAAATGTAAAAAGCTTTTCCGAAGTCAAGAATTATTATACGAGCAGGTATTTTTCGGTCCAAGTTAGTTGTTCAGATTTCCTATGCTATGATAAGATTGCATTCATATGATTTGCCTTTCGTAGACCCGAGTTCAACTTCGTGTTAGGTGTTGTTCTAATGTCTCTCGTTCACCAGTCCGCTCAACTTCGACAGTATCGGCAGTAGAGTGGTTGGTCTTTGACAGGCTGGATCCTTCCTATATCCCTCTTCAGAGACTGAAGAGGAATTCGTAGGCTGTCTTTTGGTAATGAACCTATACGTATATTTTGGATTTACTTGATGTGTCACATATCACTTTAAAACTTTTCATTTGCAAGCAAGACCTACGGTTAGAACCCTTTAGGCAGACCTTCCACCCGTACCAGGCACTCCTTTTCGCCTGGAAGAAGCGTTCAGTTTCTCGCCTAGACCAAGATTTTTTTTCATCAGTGTGACTTGCTTGAGATACATTATTTAGGACAGCATCCTGAATGTTATCTCTCTTTATTTGCCAGTGATCGTTTACTGTTAACCTCCATGATCCCCGTGACTATGGTACGAAGAAGAAGATGCTCTCATGTAAACATGTAGTTTGCCATAGTGCAGCCAAGGTAGGGCTGGTCTTCGCCCCTCCGGTGATTTTAGTTTTTGAGCATGTTAAACATGACTGCGCCACGGTCACAACTTACTGTAGGAGTGTGGACACGAACATCCTCTTCTATGAGCTGATCGTTTGTCAAAGAATGACTCAAGTTTCAAGAAATCTTATCCCTAGTCCACCTAGTGACGTCGTTTACATCCCAAGTTAGTTTGGAAACTTTAACGGCTGCTCCAAGTCACCTTTTGAAGCGACCAGTGGGAGTTGTACATTGTCTGTTGAGATCGAGAGTTGGAGTGTCGAAATCTTCAGCTTAAAGTAATAGAGTAAACCAAAGTAATGGTAGTTGCAGTGTTGACTAAATCAATTTATCTTTCTGAGACTTAGTATTTGAGGGTGGCCAGTAAATCCCTTTCATCAACTTTCTCGTGCTATTCGTGTTGAAGCAACGTCAGCATGATTCTGCCAAATCAGTTAGTTAGGTACCATGGAGTTTCTCGGCTTGAGATGGCTAGTAATAAATATGACCGTTCCAACTCTTGTTTGGTGTATCATTTGGAATCTAAAGTGTGTCATGCCTTGCATGCTCATTTCATTGTCGGCATTGTCGTGGATAGCCATATTTCAGTTAGTATTATGATCTTCAGATACTTCCGAACTCACATGTTCCTGATTTCCAACTGCTTATCCCTTAGACCACTTACCTTGCTAAAGAGGCAGTTGGTGGTTTGTCTCATCACCTGATGCACCGCTGCAGCAACAACCGTCTTTGGACTTTCACACAAGTTGTCAAAACTGAATTGACCAGTTCTGTGGGAACTGGTAGCTTTTGTAGTGTATTCAGTCTACAAGACCATGACCATGTTAATCGAGTTCGTCATACATCAGTGTGCACTTAGTTTGGCATCTTTGTCGTTGCTAACCATACCTAGACCGGCTCTAGTAACATATAATGCGACTAGAGAGATCGCTCCTTATGTTGTATGAAGCCTGAAGCGCCTCACTTAGGTCTTCTCGATTTCTAGAGTTCACGGCCATCGGACATGGATACTTGATAAGTGAGAGGTAGTGACAGATGAGGCAACCGAGAAACGCTGATTGCCATGGTGGTGTGAAGGTCAATGCTTCGTGTTCACCGACGTCATTGTTGCATGTCATGTGAATTAGCTTCGTTCAAGCTACCGCCAACCAGCTTAGACACTCCACAAACCATCAGACGGATCGGCTTTTAGGTGCCTTTTTATGTTCCGACAGCAGCTTGTACTGACCATGGTTTGTGGTGCATGACTCGGATCGGGGTGGATAGTTTAACTGAGAAGTTGATAGGGCCTTGAAAAGACGGTATAGTTTGGCTGGGATACCGCTCATTATAAGTGGTGCGCAATATTTGTCCTACTGTCCTTATCAAAGATGGCCCTACATTCCAGTAAGCTACCCTGCGACACTGCAATATTAAATAAAATTAATAGGTTTTACCTCTCGTCCCGGTCCCCAATTTGTAGCGTTTTTTGGGCTGTGGTGTTACCCCTTCCCTTTCTTATGCTAGCCCACTGTTTCATAATGTTAAGAGATGCTACTGAATTTACAACAACTGGTAGTTCCGTTGATGTATTAGTTCGGGTTGCGGTTACCTTATTCACTTGATTGGACGGTTTCGTCCTGGGCAAATTCGGTTTACATGAGGCGATTTGTAGATTCATTTTAAATGGACCTTGAGTTTCATTGCTGCTCAGTGATTCTGCACTGTGAAGAAACATAACAGAACCAAGCACAAGAGTCACTCAAACTAAACATATAGCCAGGTCTAGGTAATGAAGTGTCACGAAAACAATAAACGCGCGCTCTACGGAATCTACATTCAACTACTAAGTCTCTGGTTTTAACTGGCAATACATTTATTCTTATGCGCTTTCTGAACGGTTGACTCTGTCGTTAGACTTTTAGGATGCATTTGACTCCCATTATTATTTTGCCTACTGGTCTAACCATGAGTAGAATTCTATATCTTTTGTAACCGAGTTGTTCGGTTACTGAAACATTTCATAAGATACATTGGCTTCATACATATAGCTAAGTTTTTCCACATAAAATTATAGATAATTTTCCAGACTCTGCGATATACAATGCGAATAGTAGGCGCGAGTTACGATGAACTGCTAATGACTGCGAAACAATGCAAGGTAGAGCCAAATCTGCATCTAACAAGAATGGATGAGGTAAATGTGCTAATATATTCTTGATATTCGTCGGCTAGTAAGCTTACAGGCTCTTGCGTAAATTAAACAAGTCTTCTGCAAATATTCAGACTTATATCTAAGGATTGGAATAAGGTTCTGAAAAAGAGAAATACAGAGAAAGGGGCGAGGAGCAGAACGGAAAATATTCTTGTTTGAAGCCAAAAAATGACTCAGCACATACTTTTTCAAATTAGAGCACTAACCGTGTAGAATTCTTTTTGAATGTTTTGTTTTTTGGAAAATCCCTCCATGTTTACATATTTTTGCTATGACATGATGGACTTTTTCTCTTGACATTTTTGGTATTTTATTTGATTCCAATTTGAGATTTTATCATTGTATATTGTTATTCTTTCTATATTTGTACTTATATTGAAGTTTTTGGGTTTGCTTCTGAACTGTACATATATTGTTTAAATTTGATATAATATGGCTACCGCCACATTTTTCGGACGGACGCGGTGGCTGCTGG